AGTGGGTCCCCAGGGCAGTGCTGGGTCCCCAGGGCAGTGCTGGGTCCCCCTCTGTGCTGACAGCCGGGTGCTTTATGCCCCACGTCGCCCTTTGCCCCGGCGCGGCCGAGATAAGGGGATGGGATCCTCCGACTTGGGCCGCAGAGTAAACACTGCTGCTGGCTGCTGGCTCCTGCCCGCACCGCTTCCCTGCTCCTCCCGCTGCTGCCCCCGAGGCTCGTGCCAAGCCGTGCCCTTTGTCTCTGGCAGCAGGGACACCTCAGTGGCGGGTGGCGAAGGACACCGCGCACGCTGCTGCCTGGCGGGAGTCATTTATTCACTCGTCCCATCACCGGCTTTGGCAGCTCCGAGTGCCCCGTGCTGGCACTGGGGCCACCAGGTTTATCATTAACTGGGTGGCACGTGGCGGGACCGGGGCCACAGCGGGGTCACAGCCCAGCAAAGGGCTCTGCCTCCAGCCCCGGGCGGCCTGGCAGCTCTGGGCCTGGCTCCACTGTCCAGTTGGCCAGGAGGTCGCTGAAGTCAGGGGTGCCAGTGTGGAGGAGGCTGGCAGGGCCTGGGCCTGGCTCTTTCCAGAAGGAGGGCGGCAGCTTCCTGCGGTGCATGGGGGTGATGTGGCCGTACTTCCTCTCCAGCCGCTGCGTCTTGCCGCCGGCTGCCCGTGCGGGCAGGCACCGGTGCACGCCGTACTCGAAGAGCTCGGCCAGCGGCCCCAGCCTGTGCGCGGCCCCCGGGCTGCCCCGCGGGGCCTCGGGCACGGCCTCGGCGCTCCGGGGCGAGCCGCAGTCCTGGGGCACGGGGCGGCTGCTGGCGGCCTCCTCCCGGCCCCGCCGCCCGAAGTAGCGCTGGATGTCGCAGCTGATGAGCTCCGAAAACTTGAGGAGACGCAGTGTGGTCTCAGCAGTGCTGAGCTCCGGCCTCACACTCTCCTCTACTGCTTCCACATCCTCCTCCTCCTCTTCCTCCTCTTCTTCTTCCTCCTCCTCCTCCTCAGAGAGGTTGGGGAAGTCGGGCTCAGGGTGCGTGGGCAGCAGGAGGCCGTGCGGGAAGGGCGAGGGCAGCCGCAGCTCGGCCAGGGGCTGGATGACTCCTGCAGCCATGTCAGCGCTCAGAGGCACCCCCAGGAGTCACCCTGCGGGCAGGGACAGCGGGGTCAGGGTGACACCAACCCTGACCCACCGCCCAACAGCCCTGAGAGGGCAAGGGACCTTGTTGTGCCATGCCATGGCCAAGGTGGGGCCACAGGGCAGCAGGGATGTCCCCCATAAATAATGGGGTGTGGGATGTACCCACCAAGCTGTGGGAAAGAGGGCAGTGGGGGTATTCCCCCTGGGACATCCCCACTCAGCCCTGGGACAGCAGGCAGCAGGGGTGTCCCCACCAAAACATGGGATCTGGGGCAGCAGAAGCATAACCCTGAGTCGTGGGACATGGAGTAGCAGAGATGCCATTCCCCTACAAGCAACGGACATGGGGATATTCTAACTGAGCCCTGGGACATCGAGCAACAGGGATGTCCCCATCAAGCCATGGGGTGTGGGACAATGGGAATGTCTTTAAGTCATGGGACATGGGGCAGCAAGGCGGTTTGACATGGATGTCCAAACCAAGTAATGAGATGCAGGGCAGTGGGGATGTTTTCCAGAGCTGTGGGGCAGAGGGATGTTCCCCTTCACCCCAGGGCTGTGCATGGGGGTGAATGGGGGCTCAGCACCCACCCTGCAGCTCAGTGCCACAGAGCCCCATGCCCTGCCCACACCATGGCCCCTTGTGTTTCCCGGTGACAGAGTGAACCCACCTCCTCCCTGCCCTGCCCGGGTGGGCTCTGACCACAGCTGGTTTTGCTGAGGTGGACCTGGCCCCTTTCTAGCTCGTGCTACCTTGCTGAAGGGTCCCCAGCCTCACTGCAGGACACCCCTGGCCATGCTGAGAGGGTCTCAGGGCAAGACCAAATCCTGGGGAACCAATCCAGCATGGTGCCAGGACCTGCACCCAGCCTAAGATCGTCCTTACCATCTCTGCGTGTCCCTCTTTGTGCCGTCCCCACCGCGGTACCCCCGCTGCTGCCCCGGGGTGGGCTGTGGGGGGCTCTGAGCTGCGGGGAGGGGGCAGCAGGGCCACCACAGCCTGGCACCACCCTCAGCCGGAGAGGAGAGACCCCCGGGCCAGGCGGGTTCCGCACTCACCTTGGCGCTGCCGCCCGGCCATGCATCGGCTCCCGCGCCGCTCCCCTGCCCGTCCCTCCACCTGGGCCTGAAGTATTTATAGCGGAGCAGCGAGCTGACGGCTGGCAAATATTTGGTAGCCGTATTGTAATAGTAGACTCGGTAAACAGAGCCGGGGTTTGCTTTAGCACCCAGCAACGGGAGAGCGGCGCGGGGAGGGACGCGGGGATGGAAGGCAGGGCTCACCTTAATGGTTCACTCGCCAGGGGATTTTCAAGTGTTGTCCCTGTAAATTCACCTATTAAATCGGCAGCCCCAGCTGCCAAACTGCCCACACACTTGTGCCGAGGGCTCTTATCTCCCTGCTGATTGGAGGTGAAATCAAGCTTTGTCAAATAGGCGTAAAATTAAATTTCATGCTATTTTGACTCCTGGAGTAGGGATCTTCTGAAGAACATACTGCTTATCGAGCCGTGCCTCTGCAAACAGGGGCTGCCGCTGCAGTGGGCAAAGCCTTTCTGTGGGTACCCCAGGTGCTGCACCACCCTCATGCAGGTTCAGACCACCCCTCTCCAGCCTTGTGCCCCTTCGAGATGGATGTTGGGCCCCCCAGCCAGGCCTGGGAGGGTTTTGGAACCAAAGGTGGATATACCATGTGGAGAGTGTCTGGACCAGTGGGGACAGACCTGGATGACAGTATTTTCACCCCATGCTACGGCCCGTGGCTCCCCTGTGAGGACAGGGACAAGGGCAATCAGCTCAGGTCCCAGACGGGCTGTGCTAGAGGTGCCATCTCTGCCCTGGCAGCAGGAAGTGCCAGTGGGGTCAGCACAGAACAGGGCCAGGGGACACATTGACCGGGGACACAGGATGGCCAGAGGGCACAGGACAGCCTGTCCCCAACAGCTGAAGGGATGGCAGGGGCCTGACACAGCACCAGACCCTGTCATAAGTGTTGGGGACACTCAGGGAGTGGGACACCAGCCACTGGGCTTGGGGACAGCCACAGCCCTGCTCCAGAGCTGGCCTGCTCTCCTGTCTTTGGGGTGATCACAGCTCCTAGTTTCTCCCTCGGAGCCCTCCCTGCCCCCTGCCCTGAGCACCGTGTTCTGAGGTGTCTGCAGTGCTGAGATGGGGTTCCCAGCTCCAGGCAGGGTGCAGCACTGGCGAGGGCAGCGTCCCAGCCTGGGCCGGGCTGTCACCCACCCGGGGCAGGGCTGGGCACCGGCTCCACAGGGCTCCCTCTTCTCTCTCCAAACACTCACAGCAGCACAGCGGGGTGGGAGCAGCAGCCTCCCGGGCGCTGCTGGGCAAACAGGGCGGATGGGAGCTGATTAGCCACGGGCACCCTTCGGGCTGCTCCCTGCCGTCACCCACTGTCACCCACCCACCCGGCACGGCCCGGCATGGCACAGCTTGGCACTGATACCGGACAGCCACCCTGCCCCCAGCCACCTCTGCCCCAGGCCCTCTTCCCGCAGTGCAGGAGATGGGGACACAGCCTCGGGGTCAGTCCGGCCGGAGGAAAGGGCTGCCCTGACCCTTTGGCCAGGTGGGAAGGGTCTGGCCGTGCTGGCTCACAGAGTTGGGAGTGATGAGGTGTCCCTCTGTGGGAAGGAATCACGCACTTCAGGAACACCCAGGGCTCAGCAGGACCAAGGGCGAGCAGCAGGGAGAGGCAACACCACTGCTCCTGCAGCAGTCTTGGGCTTTGCTCCCATTCGAGTGCCCAGGGCGGCCATCCCTGCTCCAAACTTTGCCAGGGCCGGGCATGGGGAGCTCCTGTCTCACAGGGAAGGGGTCTCCTGTTTTTAGAGACAAGCAGGGAGGTCGCAGACCCCATTCGGAGGTGAGGCTGATTCTGCTCAGCCGGGATGCTGCACCGGAGCGGGGCGGCGGCACAGCCCTGCCCGGGGCTGCCTCACGGTGCCTTTCCCGGGAAGCCAAGAGTTTAAAAGCTGCGGGAAAGCCCGGCAGGGCTGCGGCAAACGGAGCATCCTGCACCAGCGCTGCGGCTCCAACCCGCGCTGCCTTGGGAGCCCTGCGGCAGCAAAGAGAGCGGGTGGGATTTCTCGGGCACGGGAAACATCCAGAGAGCAGCCGGGGCGGGGAGCTCAGGGGCTTTCCTTGTCCCACCTTCCCCCTCCCCACGTTCCCCACGGTGGCCCCGAGCTGCCACAGCGCGGCGGGGACGAGCCTGCTCCGGGCACCAGCCGGTCCCCGGGGCGCCGCTGCGGTCTGGCTACCGTGCCCACGCCCGGCGAGCCCCGGGACGGTGCCAGGGCGGTGCCAGGGCGGTGCCGGGGTCCGACCGCACAGCGGCGGGGCCGGAACGATCCGCGACCGCCCCTCGGCCCCACCGCGCCCCTCCGACATCACTGCCCGAACAGACCACGCCCCTCCGACAGCACTGACCAATCAGACCGCGCCCCTGGGTACAGCCACGCCCCTCCGACAGCACTGTCCAATCAGACCACGCCCCTCTGACATCACCGCCCAAACAGACCACGCCCCTGCATACAGCCACGCCCCTCTGACATAACTGCCCAATCAGACCACGCCCCTCTGACATCACCGCCCAAACAGACCACGCCCCTGTGTACAGCCACGCCCCTCTGACATCACTGCCCAATCAGACCACGCCCCTGTGTACAGCCACGCCCCTCTGACATCACTGCCCAATCAGACCACGCCCCTCGCCGCAACCACGCCCCTCTGACATCACCGCTGCTCCGCTCTGACCACGCCCACCTTCAGCCCCGCCCCTCGGAGCCCGCCCCCTGGCGGACTACCGTTCCCGTCATGCCGCGCGGCGCAGGGCGGGGCCGCTTCCGCTCAGCGCTCGCTGCGCGTCGCCGCCGCTGAGGCCGCTGAGCCGCCGCCGCCCCAGGCCCCGGTCCCGGTCCCGGTCTCGGTCTCGGTCGGAGCCGCCGCCTGCGGACCGGCCCCGCCATGTCGGCCCAAGCACAGATGCGGGCCCTGCTGGACCAGCTGATGGGCACGGCCCGGGACGGTGAGTAGGGGCGGGCGGGGCCTGCAGGAAACGCCGCGGCCTGGCGGCCACCTCACCGCGCGAGGCCCGGCCTGGCCCGGCCCGGCCGCCGCTCCGGACCCGCGGCGCGATCCGGCCCCGCCCGCCCTGCTCCAGCCTCGGGGCGGCGGAGCGGGCCCGGGCCCGGGCCTGGCGGCGCTCGGGGCGGAGGGAGCCCGGGAGGGCCCGCGCCCGGCCGGCGGGGATCCCGCCGCGCCCCCGGCCCCGCAGAGCGCCCGGCGCCCCCCGCCGCTCCGGGCCGCCGGCAGGCGCGGGGCCGGCTCCGTGCCCGCACGTCCAGCGGCGCGTAGGTAGGTGTGCCCGCAGCGCCGGGTGCTGTCCGAGACGAGAAATGTGACAGCCCGTGCAAAGTACGGTCCCGCTGCGGTTTGTGTCTCCCTTCTGCGACTCGTTGGGTACTTAAATTCCCTTTGGCACGTTAACAGGGCTGTCCAGGCACTTTGCACTTTGTTTCGTAAGTGAATAAGTGCTTTTCTTTCTCTGTGTATTGAGTTGCTATTGAATTGCTTCCCATATTTTTATTTCATACAAACTGAACAATTGTGGCCCCTCTATTTTATTTATAAAGGTTCAGTGTATCTTTGCCTGCCTACATCAATCTGCAAGGGAGTTGCAGAAAAGCCTCATGTTCATCGAGCCGTGAGTCACAACCAATTTTTAAAGCTGTTATAACAAAAAAAAAAAAGTGTTTGCTTTTTTTCACAAGTAACTTTAAAAGTGTAGCTTAGAAAGAAAAAAAAAATTAAAAAAATTTCAGTAGACACAACATTATTCCTGGATGCTTGTGAATCCTAAACTATATTCATACTTTAGTATTACACATACCTGTGTCATATGCACAGATGAGCTTTAAAATTGTCACATACCATTACCACTTTGCCTTTACTTTTATGTATCATTCCCCTGACTTCCTTACTGCAGGTGTGGGCAAGAAAGCTTTTCCTTTAAAACTTTTCAACAATGGGCATAAAATTCTGCAGCTGAGGTCTTGAAGAATGCAGATGGGTATAGTATGTGTTGGAGCTCGCAGTGTGTATTGACTAACTTTGTTTCTTTTTTTATTATTTATTTTTTTGCTTTTCTGATATTGTCTCGTTTAAGTGGCTCCTGAGTGTAAAATGTCCTCTGAGGGTGGGTTGTGGGTGGGAGCACATGGTGTGTTCCAGGCCAGGATCTGCCAGCTCCTTCCTTGCAGGGCCTGGGAGAGCACACCCTGCATAGTTGGGTTCCAAACCAAATGGACTGATGGTTCAATTAGTGCCTGAGCAAAGAGCAGTTGTCTATAAATTTTGCCCAGCACAGCCCTCTTTTGTGATCTGATAGTATGGGGTTTGGTATCTCATGCCCCTTCTTCACAGTAAGAAAAAGAAAGGGTGGAAAGAAAATAACAGGTTTTGGCTGGGAGCCAGCCTGTCTGTCTCCTTTTCTCCTCTGGCTGTGCTGCTTCTTTATGTGGATGACAGGCCTTGGACATTGCTTGGCTCGCCAGCACTGTGTTTAACATGGTGTCCTGGATGAATAAATGCTAAAATAGTGTTTGTTGCCAATTATAAGTGTTCCAGAATATCCTGTTGCCCTCTAAGGTGGTTTTTTTGTTTGTTTTTTTTTTTGAGTAATTTTGGGGAGCAGGAGCACAAAATATTTTAATCTGCATATTGAGGTGAAATGTTCATGCTGATGCCTGTGTTCTCTTGGTGTTCTAATGTCTCCTTATTTAAACCACACATGAATTTCAGGAGATGAAACCAGACAAAGGGTGAAGTTTACAGACGATCGTGTGTGCAAGAGTCACCTGCTGGATTGCTGTCCCCATGATATCCTGGCTGGAACAGTAAGTGTGGCATCTGGAATAAGGGATTCTGGTGAAGAGGGTGTTGGTACAGCTCTTGTCTCTGCAGGGTGGGTGACTTCTAGGAGAGATCTTTCTGTGCTCAGAGAGCAGTCACAAACCTAATTCCACTTCTTGTGACCCATGTATGGAACTGCTCTCACTTCTCAAAAAAAAACCCCAAAACCAACCAAACAAAAAACCAAACTAGGAGCTCTCAGAATTCACCTGAGATGCTTTTTCTTTCACAATCCTGTGGGAAGTTGCAAAATTATTTCTGTCTTAACAGTTTGAGATAACTCAGAGCTTGCAACTTGTTCTATGGTGGTTCCAAGCCCGTAGCTAGGCTGCTGCCCTGGTTCACTGCTGCATGTTCAGGTTAGCAAGTGTTTTCTTAGTAGCTGCACTAATCCTTGGAGATTTTCAGTCTCCTTGCCCCAGCCCTGATGGAAGAGCAGCTTTTCTATTGTTATTGTGGTGATGATGGCGGGTCACATCTCTGGCTGAGTGTTGGTTGTTTGAGCTGCTTGGTTGTTTGTGTCACCATGCCCGACTGGTTTCAGACACTTGTCTCAGCTCCTTTGCTGCTCCCTGTGGGAACAGAGCTGGCCAGTGTTCAAAGGTTTGGCTCACGTGCTTCCCCTGAGAGCAGAAGGTGATGTGGGTTTTAACAGCGAGCTCTTGTGGAGGAAGTGTTCATTTGAGGCTCCCAGATGAAAGCTGCAGCCTGACTGTGGAAAGAAAACTGTGTCTCTCGTCACCATCGTTGTGCAGCAGTCACAGGATGGAGGTGAATATGGATGTTTGAAATCCATCTTGGCCCTTGCTGTTTGCATGAGCTATTGTGGCAATTCAGTGTCTGTGCACTTAACCAGACTGTTGAAAGATGCTGTGGTTATGTATAGCCCTTCCTGCTGCTCGTTAGGGAGCTGGCTGGCACAGTGGGTCTCCAGCAAAGGGAGGGCTGGCACTGCTGCCCCTGCTTGTGTCACTGCCACAGCAGCAGTGTGGCAGCACTGGTAGAAGGAGCTATAGCTGCCTCTGCTCTGAGCGCTCAGACTTTAGCTTCTCAGTGGCTGCCTTTGCAGGTAAGATTGGAAAAGCTGAATACCAATCTCTGTACCTCTATTTTTTGAAATTAATTTGAAGCTCAGATGTGTTTTGCAGCGCTTGTTCCGTCAGCTTCCATATGACTTCACCTCCATTTCAGAATTTTAAACTTCCATCCTTTGTATAGGTCACTGTGGTCAGGGTGTGTTTTTTGGCACAAGATTCTAGAACAGGTTTTTGGACCCCAAAGCATTGTTTGAAGATGAAGGCTGCCTTCTACCTCTTCTGGCAGGCTTCCAGAAAGAGAGTAAATGGTGGGTTGAAGGGGTAGTTCAGCAGAAGTGATGTGTGTGAGCTGTTGCCAAAGTTGGAGGAAGTCTGAAGTGTTTCAGGTGGGTTGTGAGTCTCCTGGGCCAGAGAAGTACCTTGAAGAATTTGTTTCTTCTGTTTTTACTTGTCTTGATTGAGTTATCCTTTCCCTCTCACTGTGGAAGTTGTGCTCAGAAACTGCAGGAGCAGGAAGAAAGACTGCTCCTGCACAAGTGATCTTGTGGCTCACTCACATGATTGTGTGGTAGCCTGGAAGTGGGTGTGCAGTTCTACACCTCTGTCAGCAGGTTGCTGGGGCCAGAGCAAGTGTTGGTGCTGCAGATCTGTGTTGAAAGAACATGTGATGTCCAGAACAGGAAGAGCATTTCAGCTGTCACTGCTGCCAGTACAGAGTGAAACTTAGTTGGAATGTGCAGTTTCCCCTCGTGATCTCAGCCGGCTTCACTGGCACTTTACAGTGCTCTGCTAAGGAAGACCTATATGGGTGGATCTGTCTCAGCTGGGTGGGGTATAATCCATCTCTGGGTGTATTACTGCAGAAATCAGGACCTTGGACCTCTTGGAAACTTCCAACAGATGCTCCAAGCCTTTTGGTGCTTGCTGTGTTGTGTCCTCCCCTAAGGCATTGTTACTGCTGCATCCTTCATGTGTGCAGCTATTCCTTAGTGGGAAGCTGATTGAAGGCAAGCAGGAAGCTGATCCCTTGGGGAGCTGTGCTCAGTGAAATGTGATGGAGTCCCACTCACTGACCTTCAGGAGCAGAGTAAGAAAGGGAGTCCAGACTGTTGGCAAAGCTCTGGAATATTTCTGAGAGCTGCAGGAGTCCTGTTGATGTTTGCTTTATTGAGGTGCACGAGTGTTCCTGATTGTAAGAGTTGTCATTTTAAGTTGGTTTGTTCCTGTGGATATTCTGTTTTTGGCCCCAGAAACTTACCTAAACTTGCCACTAAATAACCTACAGTGGTTCTCTTTGGTCTCTGTGGATAAGGAGGAACATTCTGGGAGACCAGGCGTTGGTTTAGTGAGACTGTGGGCTGTTACCAGGGCCCTTGTCATCCACATCGTTTGTGGTGAGTGCTGAGCTCTCTCTGCAGCTCATGGTAAGCATATTTCTGTCAGGGGAAGTATTATAGCACATTGAGAGATGGCATCAGCTGGCAATTCTCCTGAATTTCAGCTCCAGTAGGAGGTGGACAAATGAGCCTCAAAGCTGCCCAGATTGAACATACCTTGGAAATTACATCCAGAGAATTAATTGTGTCCTCTGCTGGGGAAGATAAGTTGAAATCTGTAGGTTCTAGAATTGGTTTTTGTGGGGTGAGAGGGGGGTTTGTGCTTTCCTTTTTCACTTGGATGAAACTCTGCATCTCTGATCACTGTTAAAGCATCTTTGTGGAAATTTCATTTTGTGGTGAGTTGCCAGTTGAGTGGAGATCATAAGAGACACTTCAGAATGTAGATTTCTCAGCAAATGGGAGCAGGACTAATTATCAGTGACATCTAAATGTCTTCAATCTTTGTGTGTGTGTGGAGTTAAATCTCTGCTCAGGCTCTGCTGGTTGCCTGTCTCACATACTTGTGTTATAAACCAGCCAGTGTTGACTGGAGCAGGTCATGATCTCTGTGGAAAAGGTGAGTGTTCTATGACAGCCCTCCTTGGGATGAGAGGAGGCTTTGAGGCAGAAGGGCTGGTGGTCTTACCCCGAGTGAGCAATACCTGTGGAAGTCTCCTTGCTCTTGAACATCTCAAAGGACATGGAGGAAGATGTGAGGTTTATAAGCTAGTGAGAACTGAATGTTCTTCCCTGAGGAAAGTCAAGGGATTTGTTGCCTGTTAACAAGCAGGAAGAGGAATAGGGAACTTCAGAACAAGCATTGTTGGCTGTTCTAAAGTGGTGAGAGCTGCTTCTCTGAACTGGGGTTAGTGGCTCAGCTTGAAGGGAGAGCTCAGATAAGAATATTTATAATGTGACAATCACATCCAATACCATTATTTTCTCCCTATCTTGGAAAGTGATCTCAGTAGAATGACCAGAAGAATGAAAGATGTATCACATCACAGAAAGTTATTTTTGTGGTAAAATAACAGTAACTCTCTAGCATTCTTTGAAGTGGCTTGCCTGAAGTTGAACATGATCAAGCTCTAAAAGTACCAACATGCTTTTTTTGTAGGTGTTACATTTGTATCATTAGAGAGCTCAGCAGGAGCATTCTGGATGCAGCGTCTGTTTCTGTAGCCTGCTGCCTCTGGCCTCCTGGTTCTGGTAAATCCGAACAAAATGAGGAAGGCTAAATAGTGGCAAATCATTTGGATTTTTTTTTTTCCTTTTTTCGAAGAGAAAATCCAGTAATAGGCACCTGCTGAAAACCTGAGCATAAACTGGTAGAGTTTGCTTTAGTTTCTTTGCTACATTCTAAACACTGCTGGGTGCATTGTTTCATGTAAGCATCCCCAGCTTTAATTTGTGATATTCCACAGGGATTCAGAGTTATCCCAGTTCAGCTTTCTCTGCAGTTCACTGAGTTGACACCTGTTGTGCACATTGAGGTTTGGGCTCCTGGGGACTGGTGGTGAGAGTGAGAGAAGAGGTGGTGGGTTGGGGTGTTCCCTCATGCAGTGACATGTACCCTGCCATTCCTCCAGTGGCTCACAATTAGGGCTTTTATTATTTTGGCTTTCAAAATGTCATTTTCTTCTTCTACTCTTAGAATAAGATATGGTTCTTTGTTACAAGTTGATAATGTTGAAATGCAGCTTCCATGTCTTGAGAGCATAATTGACTTGGATTCATGTGGCTTGTTAACTACTAGGTGGGAGAAAAAATAACAAATTCAAATAATTTGGAGTGCAATGGGAGGGAAGGGCAGCTTTCTGGGAAGAGAGATGCTCTTAAGTCTCTCATTAAATGGGCTTATGTGTAGGACTTTGCTTTGCTGGGCAGGTTTTCAAATTCCAGGCTGCAGCTGGATGTGGGAAGGGTCTGTCTGTGGAATTAACACAGTCTGTCTGTTGTTGCTGAGTGTGGGGTTGTGCATTTCTGCTGGCGGTAGCCCTTAATCCTTTTAAGTCCTTTTGTTGTTGATAGGAAGTATTCTGTGTGTATCCTACAATTTGGTATGTCATATGTTACTTGGGCTCATCCTGACACAGATGTGCATTTCCAGAGGAGCTTTAAACAGGTGCAGGTATGTTTTCCTGGGCTGTGGCTCCAGGATAGGAGGCATTTGCAGTTGGTGCCTATTGAAGGGGACCCACCTCCCTCCCAACCATTTCTGAGGCTGTCCTGGGACTTGAAGCAGGAGTAGGACTGGACTTAAAGCATTTGGACTGTTTTAATGCTCCCAGAACATCTACAAAATGAGTTCTGGCAAGCATGTGGTTCTTCTGGCTGGTTCTGGTACTGAGAGGTTAAGAGAAAGCTGCTTTTCATGAAGATACTTTATTTTGATATGATGCAGTTGGCAAGAGACATCTGCTGCTTGTTGCTGTAATGGAGGGTTCTTATGTGGGTTCTCCTTTTTCTTCTAACAGCGAATGGACCTGGGAGAATGTACAAAGATCCATGACTTGGCTCTGCGAGCAGATTATGAGATTGCAAGTAAAGAGAGAGACCTGTTTTTTGAGCTGGATGTAAGTATGGAGAAATCTTAGTTACTTTTGGGGAAACTGCTTCTTGAAGTTACTGGGCTGAGCAGTAAAACTCAGTGGCCATTTCAGCTCATCATGTTGCTTGGTGTGTTACCTGTCCAGAATGTCAGCCTGACTGCTGACTGGAGAATGCAGAAGTAATTATGGCCTTTGCCACCCCATTAGCCCAGCTAGTTGGGAGGTTCCCTGGCATTCCTTGGATCCCACACCTGCTGCTCTGTAACAGGTTCTTGTAACCTGGTGCACTGTCCCAAAAAGATTTAACATTAAAAGCCTTCTGCTCAGTAGTTTAACTTTTGTCAGATTTAGCTTTCATTTATTTCTGTGATGCAACAGATCAAGGGGAAGCACAATATTGCCTTTCCTTTTCATGTTATTTCAGTGCTTTTGTCTCTGTGCCTGTTGCTCCTGCATAGGAAGGAAGTTGTAGTGCAAAGCTGTGTTGATGTGTCAGAGTAAAGGAACTGGGTCAGGCTTACAGGGCAGGGGTCAAATGTAAGTTGTACTGCAAAGTGTCATTTGGGTTTTTTCTCTAAGCATCTGTTCTTGAAGTTGTTTGTGCATTATACAGGATTGCAGCTATGAGTGTCACAGCTGCATCTGCATGGAGAGCAGCTTCATTTCACAATTCTTTGTCTGATCATGCAGGCAATGGATCACCTGGAATCCTTCATTGCAGAGTGTGACAGGAGAACAGAACTGGCCAAGAAACGCCTGGCTGAGACACAGGAAGAGATCAGTGCTGAAGTGTCTGCAAAGGTATTGGCCTCTCACTAAACATTGATTCAGAAAGTCTCAGTGGGAGCCCTGGTGCTCCGTTTCTCTGACACCAGTGACACTGGGGAATTAGGCTCCACAGAGGATCTGGGGATTCCAGCTATCCTCCTCAAATGACTGCTCTGGCCATTCTGGTGACAAACTTAAAGAGCACCATGGATTCTAAAAGACATCGCTTTAGCATGGAAGTAAAGCATATTGGTTTCTTCCCCATGCTGTGAAATGTTACCATAATAATTTAGAACAGTAAGTCTATCATCCCATGATTTTTGTTTCATTTAACAAATGCTCATGGAGTTTCCTTTTTGGGAACTTGTCTAATTGGGCCAATAAAAGACATTTCTGAAGCTGATTTTGTGGCCTCTGTGCTGACCTGTAAGCCAGAAATGACTGGCAGACCATGATCTCTCCACATCCAGTTTCTCTCTTTGCCATGTGTCTGTGACTGTGTTGACGTTGGTCCACCAGTCCCTTTTGTTGGGGACTTTTGGAGATTCATGGCCATCTTCCAACAACAGATTTCATTACACAGTATTTCTTTTAAAAAAATGAAAAGTTGTCCTGCAAGCTTTATCACATTTTTGTCTTACTAAAAACAACTATTCTCTTCAGGCAGAGAAAGTCCATGAGCTGAATGAAGATATTGGAAAACTCCTAGCTAAAGCTGAACAGCTGGGAGCTGAAGGAAATGTTGATGAGTCTCAAAAGATCCTGATGGAAGTGGAGAAAGTCCGAGCGAAAAAGAAAGAGGCAGAGGTACAGTGTTGGCTCTTCTCTGGGTTGTCACAGGAGCCTGGACTAGGCTGGGTGGTTTCTGCCTCTTCCTGTGTGCCAGCACCTCCTTGTGCAGTTTCAGCCATGTGCCAGCAAACAGGTGGATGAGAAGATTTTTGGAAACTTTTATCTAGTGTAGGGAGCTGCCTGGGGTGGGGAGGGCTCCGTCCTCTGAAATATTTGGTCACCAGTCCCTTGCAGGGATAGACTGTTGGGTTAGCTGTGCCCACAAAGCATTTGTGTGGCACCTCCTTTGTGTGAGGGTGGGTTTTGATTCTTCAAAGCAATTCTTTGCAGGGGTTTCCCTGGAGGGTTGTGTCTGTGTAAGAGTTCCCTGACATTTGTGTGGGCTTTCTTGGCTTCCTGTAGGAAGAATACCGAAATTCAATGCCTGCATCCAGTTTCCAGCAGCAGAAGCTGCGTGTGTGTGAAGTCTGTTCCGCATATCTGGGTCTCCATGACAACGACCGGCGTCTTGCTGACCACTTTGGAGGCAAATTACACTTGGGTTTCATTCAGATTCGTGAGAAACTGGATCAGCTGAGGGTAATCCTCTCTGTTTTAAACCTTCTCTTTGTAGTTCTGAAGACCTTGAACACTTCTATTAAATTAATACAGAATTCTTTGCAGAGGGCTTGTAAAAGCTCAGAAATTTCCAACTGCAGAATTCCTAAAGCATCAAACAGAGCTTTGTTTAACCTTGTCTTGGGTTCTCTTCTGTCTTTTCTGGGTAACTAAATATGTACCCTCAGAATCAGTCAAACCAGAGCACTGCTATAATTTATTCCTTGGAGCTTTGGTACAGTCATTCTCATTAACATGAAAATTTGTTACTCTGGGTTTTTTTTGACTTTGAAACCTTTTAATGAAATGTTAGAACTGAAGTTTCACGTGGTTCTGTCAGTGAAAAGATCTTGATGGGCTGAAGCCATTAGGAGTTTTCTGAAATGGTTTGAAATGGGTTGTGGTACTGGCCTTGCTTGCAAACAGAGACCTTTAGCTGAGTAAGAGTTGTGATTGCTGTGCCTCACTCACAGTGCATTGAGGTCAGTGCCTCAACTGAGAAAAATGAGGACCATGATAGAGATCTTAACTCAGCACATAAAATGCAGTGCAAGGTTCTTTGTCTTGCTATTGGAATGGTCTTCCTGCAGATCTGACCTGTTACTGTATGACTCTAAATAATGGCTGTTACTGTATTGCTGAAATATGATGTGGATTTCTTTTTTCCCCTAGAAAACAGTGGCAGAAAAGCAAGAGAAGAGAAACCAGGATCGTTTGAGACGGAGAGAGGAGAGAGAACGAGAGGAGAGGATGGGCAGACGGTGAGTGAGACCTGGGAACTGGTCTCTGAAGTTTAGAAGCATCTGATTCCTTGTACATGAGCACTGCAGGAGTTCAGCATCTGCTTCTGGAGTGGCTGTTGGATGTGCTCCAGATGCTGTGTGAGCATCTTGGGATTCAGCTAAAGATGAAAACAATGCACAAATCCTCCACTCCTCCACCTTAGAGTGATTGTACATGTATTTTGACCTTCACTGTGTGTCTGACAGGTGGGAGTTCCCTGTAGTCTTCAGGTTTATATTGGTCTAATCCCTGTCTTAGGGAATCTGAATAAAATACCCTCATCCAGAGCACCTGAGTGGGAAAGTTTAAGATGAGTGAGGACTAGGCTTGCTCAAAAGGCAGTAGTGATGCAGAAATTCCCTGGACAGCCCTCCTCACTGCTTGGAGACTTGGAGGTGACAAATGGGCTGGTGTCCATGTGCCAACAGTGGACAATGCATGTAACTTTTCTACAATAAGTGAGGTGTTTTGGCAAGCATTTCCTAAGGAAGCTGAGGGATCCCAAGGAGTGGCTGTTTCTGGTTGTTGTAGTTATGTGTGTCACTTTCTGGTCAGATGTCTTAATACCTGAGCAGTGGGAGGGGCTGGAACATTGGTTTTCTCAGAACAAGCTCTTCTGCATCTTTCCAGCTAAACTGAAAAAAAAAATTCTTCTGTACTTAAACTGAAGAGGCATCCTGTATGTAAACAGCTCAGGCAGCCTGGTGTGGGGAGGGTGGTTATTTGCAGGGGTCAGGCAGAGCAAGTGGCTGGATAGGATTGCTGTTCTGATTGTCACAGCATCTCCCTGGTTACCTTGTGTGTTTCTCCTCGTGTACTTCTTGCATCAAAAAGACCCCAACCTTGCTGCCTGTGCAGAGCTATTTTTGAAACCCAGAGTCAGCTGAAGAGTGACTTTGTCTGAGGAATATGAGATTTATAACTGCAGTGTACTCTAAGATGGTGCTGGCTCTGGCTATACATTGCTGGAATTGCTGACAAATGAAGCAGCATGGTGATTTTAGTGTATTATGAAGATGTGAGCCCCAAACTGTTTTTCATTATCCATATTGCTTCATGAATGTTATGCATAACTCCAGTTAGGGTGTTTAATGTGGATTTTCTCTGGGGATTGCCTGGTGTGATATGGAGGAGCAGTTCGTGCTACAGCTTTCTGTGGAATTGTAGCACTTCATGGAGGGCCTCACAACTTTCTGTTATCCATGCAACTGTAATGCAGTTGAGTTGGGGAGCTGCAGGATCTGGAAGTAGCTTTCCAATGCAGGAGTTAATCAAAAGGGACTGCTGTTGCTGCTGCTGCTGTGGTCAGAGATGTGGAAGTGAAATGGGAAGTGTCTTCTCATGCAGCTGCTTCATGGTAGACCCACAGCAGGACCCTGCCTAACATGGACTCAACTTGTCTCCATGGAGCATCTTCTTCCTGGAGGTCATTTCTCTGTAAAAATTCCTCAACAAAGTTGTTCAGGAAGAACCCTCTGGATCTTTTTGTTGATCCACATCTTCTCAAAATGCTGGTTTTCTTCCTCCTGTGGTGTGCCTGTCGTTTTGTTTTAGTGGTTAAAAAAAAAACCAAAAACCTCAAACCCTCAGTTCTTGAGAGCTAAAGAGCCTCTTGTGTTCATAGGTAGTCCATATGTGGATGCATCTGATGAGGGGGTTTGAAAGCTGCTTTTGAATGTTTATTTAAGGCTTAAAAGAGGAAAGCTTTAAGAACTGCATGGAGCTGGCCTAAAGTCTGAGTTCTTGCTGTTTCCATATGTGACACTACTTAGGGACTGTGGCTGGCCTTTTCTCTGGCTCTGTGCAGAGGCACCTGTGTGCTCCACAGGAGGGTGTTATGAAGGAGTCAGGAGTGCCACATAGAAGAGGCACATACATCAGTTGTCTCTCCAAAATGAGAACTTGACCTGAGAGGGGATCCCAGTGGACACTCAGTGTCAGAACTGAGGTTAGAGTCCACATTTCTCAGTCACTTATCTGCTGGGAGCTGTGCACACCATGTTCACAGAGGCATTTTTCCATCAAAAACTAATTGGTGATGTCTACCACCTTCCAGCCAGCCTCTCTTATCCAGAGCTTGGTACTTTTAGGAACCACAAGAGACATGTTCCCTTCAGAGCTCTTCTTGTCATATCCTCTTATACAGCACCTTCATGGTGTTACTTCAGTAAGAGAGAGAGTATGACTTGACTTTGGGAGTCTTTAGTGACTGACAGGCACTGTGACATCCCTGCAAACCTGTGGATTCCCTTGTGAAACTCTGCCTCTCACGGCTGTAATTAATTTGTCAATAAACCGGGATTCCACATAGGAATGAGTGAACTGGATTACCACCCTAGTGGTAATAAACACAAGTCTTGTGTGACGTTGCTGGTGGCTGTTGGGTACCCAGTAATTTCTTGAGACTGGAATTCCGTGGAGAAGTGGCCTGCTGGGAAGTGCAGACCTCAGTGTTTGCTTCCAGAGTACACCAGCAAACAAGTCTGGTGGAGGTGCCAAATGGATTTCCTTTGTGTTAAGCTGGACAAAAGACAGGTTATGAAACTGAGCAGAAAGTCTCTGTGATAGAGGGACAAAAAAGGAGGAAAAAATAAATAAAATAGACTTGCTCAGTCCTCTTGCTCCTATGGAGAGCAGTCTTCTTTGTCTCCTGCTGTACAATGATTCAGGCTACTAAGGACAACAATACTGTTTTGTTGGATACTTCCTGAATTCTGAAGTTTGGTTCTAGGGAGTGATTATCAGATGTTTTTTGTGCATACCCCTGCTTGGATGATAGCTGCTTTTCAGGGGATGTAGAAAGGCTTTTGTGGATGTGTGCACTGGTGGTTCAGAATAAAGTGATCAGGAGGAAAGAGAACGGTAAGAACTTGGAGTAATTACAGCCACCAAAGAAATCCAGCTGCCTGCCAGGTATCTCAGGAGGTCCTGCAGCTCTGTCAGGTTCTGTTACGTGGGAATGGAGGTGTGTGGTTACTGCCTTGCTCTCCTGGTTTATCAGCTTTTCCTTCAGCTGGCCATGTATGTTGCCACAGTGCATGTTTCATTTGCAGACTCCAAATTCACCTCCACTTTGTTTACAGTCCTTAGCTGAATTCCTTTCTAAATTTGGGAGCTTTTTTAACTTTCTACCATGCCTGAACAATCCCGTTTCACTGAAGAAATGACAGTGCATGTAGATTTTCTTAATCTTGTCTTATCCAGGCATGGCTTTAAATAATGTTATTCAAACAGATGCTTCTCTATTGCTTCTTAAATTCTTGTCTGTGTGTAGCTTTCATGTCAGGGTGCCAGAACAGCTCTGTGGGATGTAAATGGAGCCTGTGTGTGAGTCTGTGTGCAGTGGGGAGCAGTTACAGGAGTAAGTCACTAAACAGGGAGAGGAGCCACTTCTTAATTAAAGCAAAACAAGACTGTTCAGATGGTGTGTGATGTTCAGCTTGCTCTGAAATGTGGCCACGGAGGAAGAGGGAGGGTGCAGCTTCCATGTGCAGAGGTATTTTAAGTGGTGCTGAGTAATGGTGCTGCTGAAGTTGAAAGAATTCTGCCGTTGTTATTTACAAGCTGTCAGGAGCTAATGCTGACAGCAGTAAGCTCAGAATGCCACACAGGAGCTCTGAGGCTCCTGGAATGTGAGAAAGGATAGCAAGGCCTGGATTATTCTTCTCTAGTGCTTTCTAAGGATTTTCAGTTTATCTCTGAACTATTACATGTCAGTAATAGTTCTTCTCTTGTGGCTTTGTCTGCTTTTTTCCTAGTTATCTTTCCCAAAAGGGAAAAATTATTGATGCAAATTTCCTTCTAATGTTTGGTAAACAAATACAAGGAGTGAGAAAAGGCTGTTTTTTCTTTATTAAAACCCCTTTAGCATGCAACTGCCTCAGAGGAACCAGAATCAGAAGACTGGCAAATGTCTTTCTGATTGGAGAGTGGCACTTCTTGAAAATGTTAAGAGTTGATCCAGTTGGTGTTAGACTGCAGGGAGTAAAAAGTATGTAACAAATATGCACAGAAGATTAGTTGGAAAGGTTCATTGAGGTGATTTATTCACAGTATCTGGTTTCTAGACATTTTCTGTAGTGACAGGAAGCTCAGTGTGCAGAAATTCAGGTTTCCCGGTTTTTGACAAATTCTCACTCCTAAAACTGACGCTAACTAAATGTTTTATTTGCAAACTTTTTTTTTTTTTAAGTAATATATCATTTGAGGTATTGATTATTCCTGTGATGAGCTGCCAGGGTGGATGAATTTTCCTATTGAAAACCCACTGGCTGTATCATAACTTCTCTCACTTAACTCTCCTCTCCTTTCTAGGTCTGGATCAAGAAATAGAGATCGTCGAAGGTGAGTGCCCAGTTCTGCACTTCTCCCAAATGCCTGTTTGTGTTTCTCTCTTGCCTCTGAGGTTTTTCCTGGGTCTCACCAATGGAATTCACTCAGTGCCTCAGTGTCTGGTTTGCTCCCTGAAAGAGATGGGAAGTGCAGTATGGGCACCTCAGTGGTGCAGTTCAGCTTGGTGTGGCTGTAGAGCAGGTGCTTAGTAGCTTGGGCTCTGTGTAGTCCAGTGTGAGCCCATGGATGTCCTCGAGGCCTCTTTCAATAAATACCTGATCATTTCCATGATTGTATTATCTGAACTATCTGCTATCTATATAATACCTCAGACGTGAAAATACAGATTTGAGATTAAAACCCCCACATCTCTGGGAAGAGCTTGCCTTAATGCTATGGCAACATTCTCTATGACTGTGGACCTGGAGATCTCCCTGCCTACTGCTTTCTTTGGCATCTTTCTTATTTTTAGAGCAGGGTGAAATAAATCTGCTTCTAAAGTGCTGGACTTTCACACGGAAGATTCTCTTAGGGATATGGGAATTTCACAGGGCACTTCCTTTGGCCTCTCTTCTACTTATAGGGGCCTCACTTGTGAGCAATGCAGGGTTGTAAGCTCTGCTCCAACCCTTGCCACGTCCTTACAATAATGGTGGGAGCTTTTTCTGTGAGCTCTCCAGCAAACTGAATAACGCACTGGAATTTTGTTGGTAGCACAAGGCCCAGGAGGAGGCAGCTGCCCACTCTGGGGTGTGGGGGATCAGCCCAGGGTGTGGGCAGGGATGTGGGGCAGGGGCTGGGCTGTGTTGGTGCTCTGGCTATTTGTTACTCAGGAGGGGCTGAGGGGCAGCTCAGGGTGCAGATGTGAGGCACTGAGGCTGTCTGTGTTCCCTGCAGATCGCGGTCTCGGGAGCGGAGGCGGAGACGCTCCAGATCAGCCTCCCGGGAGCGGCGGAAGTCCCGCTCGCGCTCCCGGGACCGACACAGGCGCCACCGGAGCCGCTCCCGCAGCCACAGCAGAGGTCACCGCCGCGGCTCCAGAGACAGGAGTTCAAAACACAAGTATGTATTCTCGACAGGAGTGCTTTGGAAAGGGGAGTCCTTGGCTCACAGTGACCTCCCTGGCCCATAGAGCGAGCAGGAGCGTGGCAGGGTTCTCCAGAGCAGCTGTGCCTGTGCCAGCTCCTGGGCCAAAGCAGGATTCCCCAGTGGCCTCACCTGAGGGCAGCAGCTGTACAGCAAGATCCCAGCTGAGAGGAGAGTCTAGGAGACAGAACAGGTTCCCTGATTTGCAGTGCTGAGCCTCGAGGTGCTCCTTGGATGGAAAGCAGCACGAAGCCTCCCTGAGCTAACTGAGCTTCCCTGAGCCTGTAAAAGGCAAGTGCCTGAGAGGCAGTTTGAATGTTACACTTCTGTACTTATTTTCTGCTTCCCAGATTCCTTCTCTCATTCCTTCTTCATTGAGAAGGAGTCTATGATTTGAGATCTGGGGAGAGTCTTCTGTTAGAAGGCTGCTTGAGAGAGACAATTCTTTAGGAATCTGCGCTTTTTCCTCCTGAAAAAGAAATATATACCATTCTTCTGTCTCTGAGGAGAAGCACTATAGTCCAAAGAAGGGCTTAAAGTTTTTTCTGAAGTTCAGCAAAACAGCCTCTGTGTTGGAGGAAGGATGAGGCAAGTGTGTGTGTAGGATATTAGAAAAATTGACTGGAATCATTGTGTTCCCTTACAGCCCTTCTAAGCCCAGGAGTAAGTCTGCCTCCAGGTGCTTGCTGAGGTTAGATCTGGATTTTTTAAAAGCCTCCTGGTTAATGGGGGAGTGCTTTAGCACTGTCACCTGATAAGGCACCAGCACTCAAGTACAATGATAGAAACAAACCTTTTGTTGTGTGTCTTGTGTCAGTTTAGCTAAGGGATAAGAACAGCTTTTCTCTTAAAGATACCTGGTGAAGGGGAGGGAAGTAATGGTCTGAAAAAAAAGTCTGTTAATAATTGAGGGGGGGTGTAAATACTGTTGATTCTCCAATGGCTGAGATACTAAAGTGCTTTTTTAAATCTGTCCTGAACATGAAAAATAAAGAAAAGAAGTTTGGACAATTAGGAAGTGAGGAAGATCCTGTAATAACTATTACTAAAGAGCAGGTAAGGGATTACTTCGGAACCCTTGAACACATCCAAACCAGCCCATTGAGATTGCAGGGGGATTGGCCAGCTGACACACCTGCAAAAAATTGCTGAGAGCTGGGGACAGGCCAGGATCAGCTTAAGAAAACATAACAAAAACAAGAGAACAAATAGCAAAACCCTGTTTCCTGAAAGAGAGTAGCTTCTGTTTTCACTTTGAAAGTTAATGAAACCTGCCCTCAGGTTCTGCTGAGCTGAGGTTTCACTTGCTGAAAGAAATGGAGAGTGTCACAGGATCTGGAGAGCTCAGGGCAGGAGGTCTGCAGGCAGCAGGCATTGTTGTGGAAAAGGTAGAGAGTTAATGTCATCAGACAGACTGATGTTCAATGACAGTTTAATGAAAATGAAATGGCTATTGGGTTTTGCTCTATCAGTTCTGCAGTATTTTCGAGACTTAAAATCAACAAGAATGAAAGTGGCACCTCTAAGGTACCTTCTGTTGTGACTGTAAAAAAACCCTGTGGCCTGAGCCTTGAAGTAAAATGTAGGAGCCTCTTCTGAGCTCCCTCAGGGTCAGCTCCTTTTGAATCCTGCTATTCCCTAAGCTGGCAGGAATCACACAAGAAACAGCCTTTCAGATTAGACCTAATGTGGAGCCTCCTGTTTAATTCTGCGTGGGCTGACACAGGGAAGTGCTGCTGAAAATCTGTGGCTGTGAAAAGATGTGCCTGAATATAAATCTGTATCATCCTGACTTTGAACCCGGGATGCAGCCAAAACCAGCATTTGTCAGGATGCAAAGTGAGAAGCCCAGGGCTGAGCCAGCAAAGAATCCAGTTGGTATTTAAAGCAGTTGAGCAGAAAGCCAGTAGCTTAGGGCATGATGAAAAACTGCTCTGGAAGCCATGAAGTGAGCTGAGTCAGAGATGAGGAAGAAATTGTAGGTACTTCAGGATGCCCAGAAAAATAATAAGGGGCACAGGAAACACCTGAGAGAGCCCCTGTAGGCAACAGCTTGAAAGGATCAGTCAGAGGAAGGAGGAGCAAAGGCTGTGCTGTGCACAGAAACCTCGCAGAGCGCCCAGAGCTGCTGTCATGGGGCACCCACTCCCCGTGGCACAGTACCAGGCACATTGCTGTAGGGAACTTGCAGCCACAGCCCTGCTAGGGAAAGATGTTGCTTGGTGGGTATTTGACAATTTTTAGTTGTGAAGCTGATAGCAATGGTTTACTTTGTACTCCAGATCTTCTAGAGATCGATCTTCAAGAGAAAAGTCCCGAGACAGAGAGAGGAAAGAGAAGAGCTCTTCTGAGAGGCGGCACGAGAGCACAAATGGCAAATCTCGTTCCAAGAGGTCAGAAGAGAGAGAAGCTGGCGAGATCTGAACTCAAATGATCTGTGTTGCACTGTAAATAGTCTTGATAAACATTCTACACAAAGCCTAAATTTCCCATTTATATTTACTGAATACAACTCATCTTTTGTAGTTTGGGATTTTTATTGTTTGGCAGATAGCTGTGAGTTTGTAGAGACACAGGAGTTACGTACTGTTTAACAGGATTTTGTTTTAGTAGGAATAAATAAATCTGGATGGATGGTTTTCAGTCCAGGCCAGCGTGGACACCCCGTGTTTGTCCTGATGCAGTGGGCACAGCGGTCGGGGCCGTGCTGTGCCTGGAGCCCTGAGCTGCCCTGACCTTTGTAATGCTTCAGCCCTTTCCAAAAAACCCACCTAACCCTCTGTGAGCACACCAGTAGCACTGGTTCTCAATTATTTTTTTTTCCTTCAGTTTATATATGTTAAAAAAAAAATCAGATTTCTTTTTTTTATTCCTTTTAATACTTAGCCACCTCATTTTTATGTCCCCAGTACTTGAGGGTTGCCTCACTTGCCCAGCTAAGGCAAAAAAGATAAAATTTGGCCCTGATCTATTGTGAAAGCTGTTTGACATTGAGTATGACCAGATGAGCTGAAACGTGTTTCTAAGCTGGGCTCAAGTCTGGTTTTAGTACCTTTACAGTTCAGATAGTTGAGTTGGTGTGAGCAAAGCAGTGGGAAACCTGGCTGCTTTCTCCAGAGAAGCACAGCCACAGCTCTGCCTTTTTACTGTGCACTCTGCACTCAGAGCTTCCCCGCGGGGCTCTGACCTGCAGACAAAGCGTTGGTGTGTTTCCCAAGGCCAGCCAGGCAGAATGTGCCGAGGGGCGGCGGTGACTCGGGATGGAGCCCGTGCCCCTCCCGGGAGGGCGGCACCGGCCGTGTCCCCAGGCGCTGGGAGCCGCTGCCTGTCGCCACTCGCTGATCTGTGCCTCGGTTTGTTTCCCACGAGGGCAGGGAGGTGCCAGCCCCAGCCGCGGGCTCGGTACCCGTCACCGCCAGGCCCGAGCCGCTCGCCCGCCGGTGGGGCGGTGAATTGCCGCCGGTAATCGCCGTTCCCGGGCCCGCTCCCTCCATCCCCCCTTCCCCCGAACGCGGCTCCCCGGTGTCAGTCCCTAGTGCATGCCCCCTTCCCTGTCCGTTTTTACAATAACCCCGCGGTTTCACGTGTTGTTTTTGTAAGCTCCGTGTGGGGCGCGGGGGGCGGCGGGTGCGCGCTCGGGGTGCCCGTACGCGCCCGTGCTGTTCTCCCGCGGTCTGAGCGCATTAAAGATCTGTGTTTGTGGCTCCCGCTGCTGCCGGACTCGTTCTTGCGGGCTCCGCCCGCGCCGCCGCCCACACCGGACGGGCCCCGCCGCACCGGCGGAAGCGCTCCCGCCGCCACACGTCACTTCCGGCGGGCGGAGGCGGGGATGGAGGCGGAAGTGACGGCGGCGGCGGCGGCGCGGGGTGAGTGCGGAGCGGGGCGGGCGGGCGGGACCGGGGGTGCCCTGGGCCGCTCCCGGCGCACCGGGGGCTCCTGACGCCTCCGTGTCCCCCCTGTCGCTGGGCGCTCGGCGGCGGAACCGGCTCCCGGAGCGCGGGGCCGGTGCAGCCGCGGGGCCGGGGCTGTCAGCGCTGCATCCCAGCCCCGCGGCCTTCCCTGCCGGAACGGAGGGGCTCAAGAAGTGTCCCCAAACCATAGCGGGAAGCCTGGGAGAGAATTTAATCCTTTTCTCCAAAGCTGCCTTTGATCCGAGCTCCTTTATCCCGGGCTGGGCAGTTGCTCACGGTCTGTGCTTCGGGCAGAGTGAGCCCCTCGCCTCTGCAGAGCTCAGCACGCCCACAGCCCCAGCGCTCTTCTGGACAGGGTTAAACCCTGCTGCTCGTGCCCTCGGGAGCCCACAAGCACAGGGCTTCTTGCCGAAAGGAAAATACTGCGATGTGTTCAACTCCAACCTCATTCTCAGCGTTTTCTCCTGATTTTGTAAGGCAGAAACCTCTTGTGTAGTGGCTGGGAGCAAGAGGGGCAGCCTGTCCTGCAGGGAGGGACTGGAGCCAGCCCTTCGTACCTGGGCAGGATTGGGCTGCCTGTGGAGGTGAGAGGCTCCCCTGGGATGGATGTGAGATGGGGGAGCTTTGCTCTGTGTGTGTGTGTGACAGAAAGAAAAGTTCCATTTCTGGGGGGACCAAAGTAGTTTCTCTTGAAAGTGGCTGTGAAGGACTACAGCATCTGTTATTTCACAGAATCATGCATTGGTTTTGGTTAGATGGGACCATAAAGATTATCTTGCTCCATGGGCAGGGACACTTCTATTGGACCAGGTTGCTCTAAGCCCCATCCAACCTGGCCTTTGAACATTCCTTTCATGCTGCCATAAATCTCTCTAGGCTGTGCAGGAGGCAGCATGGAATTCTGACCTGTGGAGTGAGTGCCCCACCTAAAAAATGTACTTTTTTTGTCTTTTCACTAATCCCACATGAAATGACCACAGCCTTTTCCAGGGCGTTTTTATGCACAGAGCTCTCTCCAGAGTCCCTTGTGCACTCAGTCTCTGGCAGTGAGGGATGTCACTGCTTCTGAGGCAGGAGGGGAGCCCTGTGGGTGAGGTGGGGGTGTCTCAGTGAGAGGTGGGGTTACCTGAGCTGTGGGAGGTTCAAGCATCCTGCTGACAGCTGCCCCTGGGGTTAGCACAGGGGATGTGCAGCAGCTGGTGAGAGGAGTGGCTTGGGTGCTGTGGAGCTTGTAAGCCCAGGGATGATAAACGATTGGTGTTTCTGCAGCCCAGTTGTTATTGCTGGCCTGACCTGTAATCAGTTCCACGCAGCTTTAATGCTGTTCTTCCTCTTAGAGCTTTGATCTTCCCATTGCTCTCATGGAAATACTACTGGGTTTTGTTTTGCTCTTCCCTAAGCAGTTTGAGTTTCTGTATTTGAACTCCTGTCTGTAGTGAAAAGTGCCCTGGGTAAGAGTTTTCTCCTACAAATGACAGATGTATCACAGTGCAAGGTGGTTGTGCTCTGGAGGAGTTTCTAATCCCCTTGCTATGAGTGCTCCGTGGCTGTGTCTGCACTGGAGGGTTACATGTAATTTCAAAAGAAACTGAGGACAGCTCCAGCAGGAGAATCCAAGAATGGTTTGGAAGGGACCTTAAGGCTCATTTCATTGTACCCCACGCCATGGGCAGGGACACCCTCCACTCTCCCAGGTTACTCCAAGTCCTGCCCAACCCTCTAAACTTCCAGGGGTGGGGCAGCCACAGATTTTCTGGGAATCCTGTGCCATGGCCACACCAGTCTCGCTGGTGGGGTTTGGATTACAGGCTGTGTCCTTGGAAAGGCCTTAGGGACATGCCAGGAGCAGAGGTGTCCCCGTGTCAGGGATGGTCTCCTCAGGTCAGTGTCCCCGGCCAGCCCCTGGCTGTGACCTGACATCAGGGAGGAGCTGTGAGCTGCAGATGACCCAGCAAAATGTTAAGCTTGAGTGCAGCAGGCAGCCTGAGTGTCTTTGGGGGAGCAAAGCTCATTTTGGGAAATCTTACATGCTATTTCTTCTTGTCCTGATGTAAGTGGGACTGCAGAAAAAGGAACAAATGACCCAAGACTGAATGTCACAGCGGGTGACTGCCCAGTGAGTTTGCTGCAGTGTCACAGAGTGCATGGGATCAAAACCCAACAGTCTGCTCATGGAAAATAGCTGTGATGGGAATGTTGCATCTTATTCAGAGCAAAACCTGGCTGTTTTATCTTTATTGATTGCAGCTTGGGGCTTCAACAATTTCTGGCTGTCAGGAAGGAAACCTCTGAGGTACTTGAACTAACCAACCAAACAGAACCAAACCAGCCAAATGCTGTGTTTGTGTTCCTAAAATGTCCAGTCAGAACCTGATTTCGTCATTCTGTGGAAGAGAAAAATGCTATGAACATTTAATCTAAGTTACAGTATATTGCTAGAAATTTTCTGTGAAGAATTGATGCCTGCTGACATTCCAGGTGCTGTGGTTTGGTGTTTTATGAGTGGAAAATTAGTTAAACCTTTCCAATGCAAGGATCCTTAAATGGTTTCTGTCACCAGTCTTCATCCACCTGACTATCTGAGGTTCTCTGTGCTTGTCAGGCAGTTCTGTCTGACTGCTGCTGATGGTTTGTCCCTTGGGTTTAGCTGTGCAAGTCTCTCTGGTTTGAGGCAGATCAGATCTGTAAATCTGCACTGTGGCTTCAGGAAACAGGACAGTGAAGGTGAGTAAAGCTGTGTTTGTCCTGTCCCTGTTGTTACTGTGGTACAGGAAGGGGTGTTTGTTCCCTCTCAGCTGGGGCTGGGGACTGCTCCCAGCTCATCCCATGGCTGGGGGAAGCAACCTGTAAAGCGTGGGAGCCCTGGAGTCTGAGATGCAGATCCTGGCCTGTGTGGGTTCACTTTGGGTTTGTCACATGTGTTTTCTAAATATTTCTCATTCTACAAGGTCTTTCTCCCATGTTTTCTCCTGTCCCCAGATCTACTGCATGTAGTGTGTGTTACACTGCAGCAGCACAGAATCCTGTCACTTTCTGCTCCCCTGAAAGGTGCCTGGATGCATTGAACTTCGCAGCTGATTTATTCTGTGTCCTCTTCCAGCAGGAGACAAGATGTCAGCTGCTAAAGGACAGTAAAACCATCTCAGATGCACACTATCATTTTCTGCTTGTCTTCAATTAAACTGATTACCAGCCCTCTTTGTTGTTGAGCTCGGGCCGTTCCACATGCTGCCAGCATGTACTTTGGCAGCAGCAGGCACTGGGATTTCCTGCATTGTTTGAGCCTTGGCCATTGACCTTTGTGGTCCTCGTTCTGGCACCGCCTCTGCTCTGGCAGGGGTGCAAAGGGCATTATTCAAACCCTGAAAGAAAAGAGAGAGAATTGCTTTAAAGGCATTGAGGGCTCTTTGTGCTCGGTGGCTCCGTGGGGTCATCGCTGCAAAAAAGAGGGGAATTACTGGGGTTGGCAGGATAATTACTGCTTTTTTATTGTTCTCATCCCAGTCTAGATGACAGTGCTGAGATTATAGTGAGTCATAAAAATATGCCATCAATGCTGTGTTAGGTGGTGTCCCTTTTGGACAGAGAGGGGAGAAACCTGGGTTTGGTTCCTTTGGGAAGTCCCATAGGTGCTGGTATGCCCTGGATCTTTCCCAGCTCTATACTGGGAGGCCGTGGAGGTTCTGCTGGAGAGGCTGGTGGGGTTGTGCTGGAGCCCTGTTGCAGCCCATGCTGTGGGTGCTGGTTTTGAGAAGATCCCCCTCTCCGTGCTGCTGGAGATGGACCCTCCAGGGACACACGAGCCACCTGCCCCGGCACAGGGGAGGTCACATAACTCACTCCTGCCACTGTCCCCATCGCTGTGGCAGTAAATCATTTGCTCAGCCTGTGCCTGGAGCCTCGTACCGTGAACCTGCTCAAGGCCTGGTGCAGTAAAAGAGCAACGCTCAGCTCGAGGGAGAGGCTAAAAGCACCACTTGATCTGTTGTTCCACTTTCCATCTGGAGCCTTCCTACCCATCAGGTGCCTGCTGTTGGTCTGGGAACAGCCAGGCTTGTGTGGGTGTCCCTGGTGTGGCTGGTGGGCTGATGAGGAGGGTAGATGAAATCCTTTGGAATAACATGCAACTTCTGCATTATTGATTCGTTTGCATGGTATTGTGCAGGTTGAATTAAATTAACTGGAGTGAGATCCTGTACTTGATGCAGAACAAATGCCACAGTGCTTGGGTTGGAGGAAGTGCTTGTAAGTCCAGCAGGCTCTGAGGTTACAGGGTTGACAGTGCCAGGCTGACCTGCTGATTCTGTGCCTCGGGCTTGCCTTGCCGTGGATCTGTCCCCTTGTGATTTGTACCCAGAAGAGAAGAGGTCTCTGCAGTGGGACAGGGACAGCCTGTGAGCTGCTTGAAGGAGCTGAGCATCCCCAGGGTGACTCATCTTGTGTTTCACAGGACCTGTAAATGAGCTTGGGTAGAAACATGAGACACAGCGAGCCCTGTTGCTGCTGGAGTTGAAATCCCATGCTCTGCACTGTGTTGGTGCTGTCTTTAAGCTTTTTTCTGCTGGGGAAGTAAATGGCTCCAGTGGACAACCCAGACATGTGACTGCTGGGACACAGTCATGGAAAATTGGCTTGGTTGTCGTGGTTATTTACTCTGATATAACTTTTCATAACACTGTCAAGCAGCTTTTTCCAAGCCTACTGGAATGTGTTATTCTTTATTTCTTCCCTTGTGGTATTTTTTAAAGAAGCACTATCAGAGAATCTGTATAAAACATGGATTTTTACTGTTGTTGTGGGTAATGACTTACAGGCTCCTCTAACTGACTAGGGCTCTTTCCCCCCCCTTTTTTTAGCAAATTAGCACAGAACCCCTCTGTTTATTGTCGTTGTAGCCCAAGGATATGGTTTGTAGCAGTAGAAGCTAAAATAGCAATTGTTAACTCTTCCAGTGTGATGAAATCAGATTTGCCTGATTTTAGTCTCAACTCCTGCCTTGTTTTTCCTCTGGGGAGGGAAGTCATCACTCTTTTGCCTTCTGCAGGGCTGGGCTGCTGAACTTACCCAGTGGTTTCTCATGTAAGAAGGTGTTGAAGAGCTCTGGTTTGCTCCTATACAGAATACTCTGGTGTTTGTTTCTCTCTCTCCTGGGGAAGCTCAAGTGCACATTACAGTAGAGAACAGCTTTATGTTGAGATATAAAGGCCACAAGTGTTTCCTTTCACCTCTCCAGCTCAGAGTCAGGCTGACATACACGGGAGGTGGCAACAAGTCTTTGCAACAGGAGGAGCTTTTGGGGTGTTTTTCTTGAGGGAGACCTGCAGACCAGTCAGTCCTTTCTGCGTGGGGTCTGTAGCCTTCTTTGTCCAGCTCTAGCAGAGTTGATTTCCTCCTCTGGAGAAGAATTGGTGCTGTTCCTGCATTCCACGAACGCTCTCCATTGCTCTGTGTGGGAGACCTCCAGCACCAGCAGTGTGTTGTATCCAGCTCTGTGACACTGGTTTGCTCACCTCCCATTAAATGTTTCCAGTGTGAATATCAGGTAGTAACAGATTATTTTAATTGGTGTTTTAAAAATATATTTAAAAATATATTTTAACTTCTTTTTCCATTGTTGCAGGTGAAGGGGGAGAAGGGTGTCTGAATACCGATGAATGAGCTGTGATGGATAACAAGGACTCAGAAGCTGAGATCCACCCTCTGAAGACTGAGGATGTAAAAGCTCAGGAGAACCATGAGCACTATGTGGAGAGGAGGATTGTCAAGTCCTCGGGGCTGTCCCGGCTGTCCCGGTGGCGCACTGCTGCCTTCTTCATCTCCCTGTTCCTCTGCCTGATCATTGTCTTTGCTTTCTCCTTCATCATTCCCTGCCCAGAGAGGCCAGTTTCAGAAAGAACATGGTTCCAATACTACAACAATGCAGGTGAGCTTGCTGCAGCAGAATAAATACTCACCAAGAGTCCTTTTCCTTTCTGTGCCATGGATTTGGGTTGTGGGCCTCTACCTAAGCACACCGTGGAGCCAGACCTGCAGGGATGCAGCCCTTGGGAGCCAGAGCTGTGAATACCTGACCTGGATAAGCAATGGCCCATCATAATTGGAGTGGCCTTCCAAGAGGTGTTTACAGGATCTAGTGGAGAAATTAGATGCTGCTCTGAAGTGGTTACAAGGTAGCAGGCTGGCCTCAATCACAAAAAAAAAAAAAAAAAAATTAAAGAAAGGGTATCTGGGAATAAACTTCTGTTGAAGCTTGCTCTTTAAAATGTTCTCTTTGAGTTTGACCTGAGGTTAGAGGCAATTAAGCATTTTTTCCTCTGTCTCTTTGATTTTCTCCCTTTTCCCCATGGCCAACAGGAAGGGGAGAAGAATAATTCCATCTTGTTTTTTTAATAAATTGCCCTGTAGTTATTATAGCTATTTTTATTCTGGTTGCTTTAGTTGGCTCTTCAGCCTGGGTCCTGCTCCCCAGTGGCTCTGCAGTCGCTTCTGGGAGAGCTTTTCTTTAATCTTGTGTGCAGTAGGTTGTGCTGGATGTGCTGTAACTGCAGAGATAGTGCTCGCAGCAGGGACTCAGCTGCGTGTGGTGCTGCAGACATGCCAGGTGCTGCCACTCTGAGCTCAGGAAAGCTGCTTTTAGCTGATAGAAAGATGGAGTATCTGGGTTTTGTGGGGCTTGGGTGGGGCTTCTTTATACTTTGAGAATAGCAGCCCCACTCCAAGATCACAGCTGTTCTTTGTTCAGCATAGTTCAAATTCTGGCGGCTTGCCTCTTAAAAAAGACATCCTCTGGGGGATAGCAAATTGAAAAAATTGTTTGGCACTAACTTCCTGTCCCTGGTACTTGTGTACATTTTTTTTTTTAATATAAAAGCAAATTTGTCCTGATGTTAACACTGTCCAGGATGGAGGCAGTGAGTAGGTCTCTAGGAATTTATGTTTTGCTCCAACTTTCTGTGCTGTGGGCTAAGAAAATTGTCACCAGAGCCTAGCTTGTGTTCTCTTGCAGTGCCCTACCCGTTCCTTGCTATGGATGATGTGAATGAAGACAAAGTCCAAGATGTGCTCTTTGCTTTCAAATCCAGCAGTGGCAGCAGCAGATTCAACGTGTCCTGTCTGGATGAAGGTACCTGATCCAAAAGTGCCTTCTAGTGAGGGCTGTCCTTTCTCTTCTAGTCCCAGTTAGTGACTGGGAGAGAAAACTGGGTGGGGAGAGGAGCTGGGTGAGTGCTGGCTCCTGGGTGGTGCAGGGCAGAAAGTGGGTGCAGGGGCAGCTCCCTGTGATACCTCTTGTCCCCAGGGCTGCCATCTCCCTGTGCCTTCGTTGCTGCGGTGTCTGGCACGAACGGCAGCGTGCTCTGGGAGAGCCCTGCTGCAGAGGACCTGCAGTGGCTGCAGTGTGGCATGCAGCAGCTGGGCTGCCTCGCCGTGGAGAAGCCTCTGTTCCTCACAGCACTCAGCCTGCACACAGGTGAGTGCCAGCAGGGGATGGGCCACTTGATTTCCTCACCTGCAGGGGGGATGTCAGCGTGACATGGCTGGCTGGTACATGAACAATGGGTATTTATGATCTTGGGAGCCTTGCCAGAGCCGCTTGCTGGGCGTTGAGGAGCTCGTGCCCTCAGCCTCGCTGTTCCAGAGGTTTGGTGGGGGTTTGTGCCAGCACTGTTTCATAAGAGCAGTGTTCCAACAGCTTTTGAAACAGGAGGAGCAGTCACTAGCTGTGAGTGTTACTTTATACTCTGCAGGGTTAGACACAAACCTGCGCCTGCAACGTTTCCCAGTTATTTGTGTGTGCGTGCCAGGAGTGCCTGCTGTGGCAGGAGGAGTGGGAGTTCTAGGCATTTATGATTTTAAAGTTGTCAAGGAGAGCACTTGGGATAAGTGCTTGCCAGTCTGTTTCAGGAGTCTACAATTCTAGCTCCTCTGGAAAGGTTTCTTCCTTTCTAAACTTAGAGGTGAAGAATTTCATCATCATCATCTTGCTTAATGTGGGTGGGAGTAAGGAGTGCCTGTACTACTTAAGGAACAGTGATCATCTGCTGCACCTTAAACCCTCCTTGCTGGTGAAAACTAAAATACATTTCCATTTTGGAGGTCACTGTTTCAAAGGTCTAAACAATATATGTTCTCCCTAGGAGCCCATCCTTTGTATCTGATATTAAACCCCTCACACCCTGTTTTCCAAAAATTTGAAAAAATAAATAGCAAGAGGTACAGCTCTAAGAAATCCGAGGAGAATCTGATGTAGCTTTTAATTTCCAGTGTATAGATGGAAGTGGAGATACACATTGAGCTAGAAAGTTTCTGTACCAACAAAGACACCTTATCAGCATTTCCCTCATGCTTTAGCACAGGTTATTTTTAGACTATTAATGAAGTAGTTACTTTCAGGTCAAAGTGTAGAAAGTTGGCGGTGGAGCCAAAGGCTTGTAACTAAAAACAGCCATAAAGGTAAGTGGGGAGAGAAGGAGCTAGGCTAAGCTACAGGTCACAGTAATACAGCAAAGAAAACATTCCATAGATAACTTCAAAGCAAGAGAGGAAAAAATGCATCAGATAGAAACGTGAATAACCCAGGAGTTTATGCATTTAATGCCTTTTTGCTATTAAGTAGGTTAAAAATGGTTTCTGAGCTTTGCTGACTGGGGGTTAGGAGGGCAGAGCAGAATAAAATGTATTTAAATAGGCTACATGTATTCAAAGAGGTGAAGTCTTAACTTACATCACAGTGTGCTAAAAACAGTAGCCAGCACAATCTTTAGCTGTTAATGATTCATCATGGAGAGGATTTGGTGAGATTCCCGGGCTCTCAGGCTGTCTAGCCCCTGCCTGTAGGAAGATTGAAGGAGAGATAGGCAGATTATCATCTGAATGTGTCTGATGTGGTTTTGATCTTTAAATGCTGATAAAGTTAGTGGGTTTTTTTATCAGTTGAAGTTGTGTTCAGTCCTGCTTTCTTCATTGCCATAAGGAGTGACCAGAGTGGGCAGGAAGGGAAGTGTAGGAGTGCATGCTCCTGTTTGTGTGGGACATCTAACATTCCTGCTTGTTTATCTTGCCAGCAAACTGGGACACATAGGAGCTTAAGATTAGCTGTTCCAGGTCAAAGCAAAAGTCTTTGTAGCTGTGTATTATTCCATCTCTGCCATAGCCTGAGGCAGAGTCTCAAGAAAAAGGACAGGAGTAAAAGTTCTGTTACGCCTTCTCTCTTCACCTGATCCTCCAGCAGCCTGAACAGTGTGGGTGGTTCTGGTCTCCTGAGGGATTGGCAGAAAGGGCACCATGACGATCAGATGATGGAACTGCTTCTGTGTGAGAAATCACTAAAGAAATAAACCAGAACTCCAACCTGGAGAACGTCTGTCAGGGAGAAAAGTCTCTGCGTCCTCTGTGTCTGCTTGAAGTGAGAGCTGAGCTCAGTCTTCTGAGTTCTGATTTTATTATTCCTTCCAGACCAAAAAAACCCAGCCCTTTCACCCAGGTTAGATTTGCAGTCTGGGCACTTGCCTGATTTCCATCTTGGCTCCTCTTGCCGTGCTGGTGCAGTGACCCCGAGCTCTGAGGGAGTGCCGTGGCACTGCAGATGTCAGACGTGGCAGCCCCATCTCCTGCTGATGGAGCAGGAGAGAGCTGCTTTCTGTGCTCTCTGTGGGCTGGGTTAGAGTGTGGAAAACTTCTCAAGTGCTTGGTGTTTAATCCAGCTCAGTGTCACCTGTTTCTCTTAAATCAGACTGTTCTTTTAAGAGAATAAGATATTTTCTCCCAAGCTCTGCTGTCTAACCAGCAAAGATTAGAGCCTTCTGCACTGACAAGTGAATTTCATTAGCCTGGTCTTACTCTTGTACCTTCAGACAGTCCTGAAGCTAGAATGTGGTAATTTAAAACTTCTCTTCTTCCTCTGCCTGCTTATTTTCTTCGAGGGCAAAATTCTTTGCCTTCCCAAGATTTCCTAAGGAAGCTAGGAAATCTGCTCTCTTCACTTCACATCTGTTGTCATAGTAACAAATCCATGTGGTTTTTGCAGTGTTGCAGTAAAAGCTTTGGAGCAGTCCTACTAGAAATACAGCCTGCCTTAAATTATTGCAGACAGCATCAAGTAGTAATTCCTTGGCTTTCAGTCCAGCTGCCTTCCTGACAAAGAACAGATGATTACTTTGCATTCCTGAAATGATAATTGCTGTGTGTGATGCTGGGTAAAGGGGAGGGTAAACATTTGCCCTGGGAGCACCTAATCAGGCACTGAAGTGTTCATTAGGAAAAAAAAAAAACAAAAACCAACCCATCAGTGTCCTCCCTGCCAGATTCCACTGCAAATTCCACTGGTCAGTGACTGGAAAGTGGCCCACAGCCATGGACAGTGGATGGATTGAGCCACTCAACTGGGCTGGAGCTGTTGAAGAGAATCCCAAACCAGCCACCCCCTGTTTTTTCAAAAAGAAAAGCTTTGTTACCTCAGTTTACAAGCAAGTTTGGGTGTGTGTTCTTCAGACAAGGGAGAGGTGGGATGTAGCCTGAGTTGTGGCTAGTCATGTCAGTGGGGAAACATCTGCAGGAACATCTGCAGGAGGCAAGTTGCAGCAAAGAAGGTTCTGTCAGGAGTTGCAGCAGCACTGGTCAGAATTCAGCTGCTTTATGGTCTCAATGTCTGTGCAGATTTAAGTGCACAGCAGCAGGGATTTAGATCACAGCTTTGTTAACCAAAGGCACAAGGGAAGCAAGCTGTTCTTTGTGCCAGGGTGTTTGGGTGCATTCCTGCAGACAACTAGGATTGCTTTCCAGTGTAAGATGAAACTGTGGATACTGGGATTCATTGGGAATGCAGAAAAGCAAGGAAGTACCACGTGATCAGCATAAATGTGGCTGGTCTGTGGTGCTGATGGGCTGGAACAGGAGCATTAATAACCTTTCAACCTAAGATGCCTTTTAATGACTATTTCCCACTGTGTTCCAGGGGAAGTTCTGTGGAGGCAATCCCGTGACTTTGGAGCTAATTACACTGTGCTGACTCCTTTATCAGTGATTCCAGATGTGGATAATGATGAAGTTCAGGACCTGATAATCTTTATTACTAAAGAAGGCCAGGTATGTCATCCTGAAGCTCTGATAAGCCCAGTGGCTGCCACAGAGGATGGCAGGAATGCTGTTTATTTCCACCTTGTAGTCTCAGAGGAAGTGGCAAGAGACCTCTGGGTTTGGGGTGGGTTCTTTCCCACCCTCCAGAGATGTACTCCCAAATCAGCACAAGTGTTTTATGGTTTAAAAAAATGAAATTAATCAAAGAGCTGGGCAGTAATCCCTCCCCCTTTTCAGTGTGCTCTCCTCACTGCATGTTCCTCTGCTGTCTGGGGAGTGAGCTGGGGCAAGATGAGCTTGCACTTTTCTGCTTCTCTGCTTAGAGAAGTGGAAGTGAACAAACCTTGACAGCTTTGGCTCTTAGATCAAAGCACAGCTGACAGTCAGTGCTTTTGTACCAGCACTGCCCTTTTCTGATCCCTTCCCTCTCTCTGCCTGTGGTCTGCTTTGCACTGCTCTTCCCAGTGTCACTGTGCTGGTTAATTGTGATCCGAGTTCATTTAGTGAAACAGCTGCTGGTGGTATCATCTCCCTCCAAATATTGCTTCTCCCATTTCTGAGAGGAGGAAAGTCATGTAGCTAGAACAGTTTTTCTGCTAGAACAGCTCCATCCATGATGGAGGGCACAGCACTGTCTGCATGCCCAGTCTGTCCTGTTCGAAGCACACAAGTTACAGCTCCCTCTGGGTGTGATGGGAGCAGTGGGAGCCCCATGTCCTCATACCAGAGCCATGGAGTCATTAAGGTTGGAAGAGCCCTCTGAGATCATCGAGTCCAACCTGTGACAGATCCCTGCGTGTCACCCAGCCCAGAGCACCGAGTGCCACCTCCAGGCTTTCCTTGGACACCTCCCACAATGGTGACTCCACAACCTCACTGGGCTGCCTCTTCCAATGTTTAACAGCCCTTTCTGGGAAGAAATTCCTCCTGATGCCCAACCTGAACCTCCCCTGGCACAGCTTGAGGCCATTTTGCCTTGTCCTATCCCTGTTCCCCTGGAGCAGAGCCTGACTCCCACCTGGCTGCCCCCCCTGTCAGGGAGTTATGGAGACTGAGAAGGTCCCCACTGTCTCCTTTTGTCCAGGCTGAGCCCTCCACAGCTCCCTCAATTCCTCCTCACAGGACATGTGCTCCAGACCCTTCCTCAGCTCTGTTCCCTTCCCTGGACCTGCTCCAGCACCTCAGTGTCCTTTTGGAATTGAGGGGCCCAGAACTGGGCACAGCATTGAGGTGTGGCCTCACCAATGCCCAGTGCAAGGGCAGAAGCACTTCCTTGGCCACCCTATGGCTGGTACAAGCCAAATGCCATTCTTGGCCAATGTCCTCCATAAGAAAATAGGGGTTTTATGTCCAAGGCATTGTTGTTGCCAGAGTCATCAGAAATTCTATCTTCTCCACCTCCTACAGTTCTCTCTGTTTTCTTTCCTCCTTGCTTTTGCTATCCCAGTTATCTCAAGACTTTTGGTTTTTTTTAATGTTATGCAGCCAAGAAAAGTTTGAATGTAGCCTCTGTTCTGCAAGACTTCCTTTTGATCTGTTTTCCATTTAAGCTCTCTTGCTATCTTGGTATGAAATCCCTTCCTCCCTCTGGATTTGGCAAGCACTCTGCCAACTCAAGGAAAGTATGTTCTCTTTTGAGAAATCACGCAAATGTAGGAGCTGGAGTGGAGCTCTGCAGCTTGGAAAGGACTGGTCAGAAGGGAGATTCAGCACTCAAGTGGAGGAGCTTTGTTGCTATCAAGGGCTGCAGTTGAAGGGTCAGGGTCTGTGTGCAGGGGGTTAGATGCAGCATTTCCAGAGAGTCCCACTGACCCCTACCCGCTGCAAACTTCATCACAAACACATCCCAGAATATGTGCTGGCTTTGGGATCCATTCCTGTGGCAGCACAGAGGGGTTGTCAGTGCAGCAAGGAAAATGTTGTGTAAATACCCCTGGCTGTCACTGTCCTGGGGCAGCCACTGGACCAGTGAAGGTGCAGCTGATCTGCCATAGCTGGTGTGTGTCTCCTCCCAGTGCAGGAGGCTGGGAATAGCTGGTGGATGTGCTGTTCTCCCTCTCCAGGTGTGTTCTCATTCTCTCTTTGTCACCTGCCAGACTCCAGGCTTGCTTTGGGAGCAGCAGATTTCCTTTGCTTTCCCAGTCCCTCCCTCTCAAGGTAGACGGAAGGGTTCGTGCCTGACTCAGCATGTCTGATAGATGCTGTTTCTCTTGGTCTGATGTTTCATTTGTTCCTAAAGTCCATGCACTCCCCAGACTCTCACTGTTGCTCAGACATTAAAATCTGATCCTGACTTCAACCTTTATTCTCCTGGGTGAAATGTTTTTAGTGGATTTTGTTACCCTGCACAAAGAATAGGAGAAAACCTACCAGCTCTTTTCTCTTTTTGGACTCACATGAGCCTAAGGAGGAGTAGATTAGGGCACTTAAAACATTTCGTGGAGCTGCCATTTGAAGCCAGATTTCCCATGTCCATATGCTGCATTATTACTGACATTAAGTCATCTCCATCTTAGTCTTGAATGGATCTGTGCTGTCCTTACAGAGCTGGGGCTGCTGTTCCACAGTCTCAGTCTGTAAGGAGGAGGGTGAGTGACAGAGGTAGCAATTTCTCCGAGCAGGTGGCTATGCTGGAAGTGGTTTTCAAACTTCCAGAAGAATTCAGAGCAGAGCTGTCACCAAACTCATGCTCACTCCTCCAAAACCAGGGAGGAGCCTGTGCTGCTCCCATTCAGCTGCTGTTCAGTACCAGCTTTAAGTGTGTTGCTTGTCTTTAATCCCTTCCCTGTGCAGGTGAAGGTCTCCATCCATTCAGGGAAAACTGGCCAGCAGATTGGCTCTGTGGGCAGCCTGTGGGTGGATGGCATCGCTCGCTACGTCAGGCTGCAGCTGCGCTCCTCCTCCTACTTCCTTTTCTACACAGGTACAGCTCTGTTGGGAATTCAGTCTGCAGGAGTGATTGTAGCTGAGATCAGGGGTAGTAAACATCTGAGAGTGTGTTTTGCATTCTTACAAGCTGTGTGGAGCTTTCACCTCGTCAAAGAGCTGTTCGGGGCGGGGAGAAGGGGGGGCCTTCTGCTTAAACTGCAGTTTGTTATCTACTGTAGTGATTTTATTTAACAAATGTCAAGCATGAAAGGATTAGGCAGTCATTTATAGCAAATGATTACTGTGGAACACTTGGATTATGAACAGATAAAATGTTAAAAGCATTCAATAGCAGGCTTGAGCCTCAAAATACCACTACAACTCCATGATGCAAGCCCTAAAAATATAGTTGATCTGACAGATCTGGAAAATCATAGAGTTCAGAGCAAGGGCAGGATAACTTATATCTCTCATTCTTGCTTCTTTTTTGTTTATTATTTTTACACAGAGAACTCTCTCTATGCATATTCCCTGGAAGATCTGTGCAGTACAGTAGTTGGGGTGGAGGTTAAGCATCTCAACTTCCAGCCAGATTCTCACTGGGTGAAGCACATTGACCACGCCACGCACCGCTTATCCCTTCCCAGGTGTGAGGTTGTCTTGGAGGCTGGTGGAGTGGGGGGTGCTGGTGTTGCTGACAGGATGGCTTGGTGGGACTTTGTTCTCTCCTGGCTATGTGAATTTTGGACTAGGAGCACATCCAGAGTTCAGGACAAGGGTTGGTGTTAATGGCTTCATCAGGGTTTCACAGAAAAGCAGAGAAAGCACGCTGAGGTTTCCTATTTGGATTTACTGTGCATGGAAGGAGCTCCAAACTTCACAGTAAAACCATGCATGGTCTAAAATGCTTAATCATTTCTCTGTCCTTGTTCAGATTTGAAAATATTCACTACCTGGCAAAAGTTCCTGGGCACTCAAGGGACAACATCCTGGTTGTGGACTCAGAGATGGCTACACTGATCAACACAAAAGATCTCCGCACTGTGTGGACCCTCAATGTGTCCCGTCTTTTGAGGTAGTGTTCTCAGTGTGGGCTAGATGTGGCATTTCCAGATTCCCAGCAACAGCAGTGTCCTGGCAGATGCAATTTTTTTTTGGCCTGGGTCATATCTTGATCTTGCTCGCTGTGTTGTGTCCCCTCAAATGCTGGGAGCTGCTTCAGGAGGGAGGAGCTCAGAGCTTTGCCTCCTCATTTTGTGCCTGCTGTGCTATAGCTGGGCTCAGAGGTGGGGTGGTACCAGGCCAACTCAATGTTGTGGCAGTCAAGTCTCTTAGCAGGGCAGGTGTGGGAGGATAGAGGAAACTGGGAAAGCAAAGTGTGCCCAACCATCAGGGTGGGTTCAGATGTGTCCCTGCTCTTTCTCTCCCCCAGTGAGCCGCTGCTCGGTTACTACAAACCTGATGCCCACGTTATAGTCCTGGAGAGTGACATTGGACCCAACAGGAAGAAGGTTTGGAATTTCTTCCTTTTAAATTCCCATTTCTCTTTATGTCACAGCTCAAACAGGAATTGAGCCAAGGACAGCTAGTGGGATGTGTTCCCTCTGGCTGATTTTAGGAAGCTTTAAGCTGTGAAAGGATCTCTTTCAACAGGTTATTGAAGCCAGCTCAGGCACTTTAATTCTCTTCTCAGCAAGAGGCTTCAATGACAGAACTCTGAACCCCTTGAAGTAGCTGCAAAACTTGTGATTTTACTCTAACATGGCCAACCCCAGGGCTCACAGCTCTGTGATGCTCTGCTTCACATATTTCCTCATCTTCCCATGTGTCACATACTTGTTCCCATAGACAGTGTGAGGAAAGACAGCTGACCTGACTTCTATCTCATGGCTTGTGAGATGCCTTTGTCATGAGTTCCTTTTCTTTCTTCCCTGCTAGGTTATGATTGTTGAGAGTGAATCTGGAGCAGTCCAGTGGGAGCTGAAGCTGAACTCGGGACCAGGGAGCCCTGGCCCAGCCACGCTTTCCACTGCGGATCACCGCTCTGCCTTCCTCTTGTGGGGAGACTACCAGGAGCCAGGCAATGAGACAGTGAGTGCTGCTGCTGAGGGCTGCTCTTCTCCAGGCTTTGGGCCACAATTGGCTGGAGTTACCCCTTCTCACAGCGCTGGTATTTCCATCTCTCTGTGCCACTGACACTGCAGCCTCAGGCACTGGGTGTGGGGTCAGTGTCCACAGCCGTGTCCCTGCAGGTGGTGGCACCAGCAGCTTTTGTCATCCTCAGCCTGGTTGCGTAGAGAAAATGAAATTGGTGACTCTGTGAGCAAAGTCACTGCCCTGCCTTGGTGTGGCACTGTAGGTGAGGTGGGAGGCTTCTGGCCTGGCACCTCTGGAGTTGCTGCTGTTTCCCTGGGAGCCTCCCATGGCAGCATTGCATGGAGTGATCTCTGTGGCCATGTGAATGTCCTCTCTGTGCCCCAGGCAGCCTCAGTGCACAGCTCAGCTGCTTGCAGAGCCCTCGGGGCAGTGGCAGGCAGCACTGGTGACACTTTGTGTCTCAGAGGCTGCTGAAGCACCAGCTGAGCTTCCTCTGCTTTCCTTGCTTGCTCTGCCAGCCCTGAGGCAAAAATCTGCCTCCTGCCTGCAGCAGACAGGCCAGCTATTTGCAGGGAGCTTGGGGTGGGAAGGAGACCAGTAAGCAAAATCCCAGCACTTGTCCTAATGACATCAGTCAGGATGAGCTGGGCACGGACAGTGTCTGGCTGGGTGTATCCTGTCAGGTGTGAGTAATAGCTGAGCCTGGTACTGGTGCTGTCTCTGGGATAACTGTGAGTCTGTGTCCTGACAGTGTCCTGTTGTTTGCAGAGACACAGAGCTCCTCTCCGGAAGCTGTACCTTTTCCATCCTTCCTACACTACTGTCCTGTTGGAGCTCCGCAACAGCACCGACCACATCATTGCATTCACTGGTAAGTCCCCTCCTTGCAGCCCTCCAGCGAGGAGCTGCAGGAGGACACTGGTCCCTGCTGGCCCCTGTGGGTGCTGTTGGGTGTGGAGGGCTGTCCAGGCAGGGAGGGTGAGGCTGGATGTCTGTGTGCTGCAGCGGCGCTGTTCGAGCGGAGCCGCCACGCCTGCTACGTGCTGCTGCGGGGCCCCCGGCCCAGAGAGGGGCCCGGCCCCGTGTCCCTGATGAAGAGGAACCTGAAGGAGGACGTGGCAGTGAGCAGGGTGATCTGGCTGCGCCCCACGGGGGACGAGGAGCAGTACGTCCGGGACCGCCTCTACAGGATGCGCTTCCAGAGCCGAGACTGAGCTGGCCGAGGAGTGGGGAATGGGGAGAGGCTGCCCTGCCCTGCTCTGCAGCCCTGCTCTCGACAAGCCCAGAGCCTGCATTCTCGTGGGAAGCTGCCTTTCTTCATCTGCAAACCAAAGCATGGCTGGCAGGGAAGCACTCCCAGTGTCGCTGTGGGGGCAGCTGCCCGAGTGTCCATCCTCAGAGCTGATGGGACTTCAGTGCTTGGCCACCACTGAAGTGTCATCAGCTCAGGGAGGGGGGCTGTCCCCTCCATCCCTCTGTGCCTGCAGAGCTGTGCTGACTCAGGAGTGTGTCTGGAGGAAAACATGTACTTGCTGAGGTGCCAGAATTGATGATTTCTGGGATGTCTGAGAAGTGGAGTTGGATGTCTGGGAAGTGGAGTTTGCTGTGTGCTGTTTGCTGTTAGATTTCCTTTCTGAGTCAGCTCTCCTGGCTGGGGAGGGGTGCTTGGCTGCAAGTCGATTTGCAATTACCCTCTCCTGGATTTGAGCTGCGCTTCAGTAGTGGAGGGGGTGTGTGGTGACCCCAGCCATGGCTGTGGTGTGTCTGGTGCCACTTGGGCCAGCAAAGCACAGGTTAAAGTGTCATTCTACTCAGCAAACGGCCTTTTCTCCCAAGAACAGCCCCATGTGTCCTACTCTGCGGTCACCAGCCTACCTGTGTCTTTGTCCTCTGCTGCTTCCTTCCCAGCCAGGCTGTGCAGTGTTGGTGGCACCGAGAGGGAGCTGGTCTCCCACCTGATGGATGCATCAATGTTCCTCCCTTCCCTCAGTCTGCTTATAGGTGGTGAGAGATCCACCCTGAGCCCAGGCTGGGTGGTCCTTGGAGGTACCACCACCACCACCTCTCCAGAGGATCTGGCTTGTGTAGAATTGCACTTTAACCTTTTCTGGGGTCTGGGATTGCTGCTCTGGGAAGCCCTGTCCCCAAGTGGCAGTGCCAGCACCCTGCTCCTTCAGCTTTGCAGCTGCTGAGGAGCCTTCTCCAAGCACTGTTCCTGCTGCCAGAAGGTGGGCAGGAGCTCTGTGCTGCCTCCCTGCCCTTGGAATTGAGGTGAAGCTGGGTGAGGATCCTTGAGCACTCTTCTCTCTGCCCACCCTGGTATCCCAAGGGGATGGGACAGGTTGCTGTGTGAAGATGACATGTTTGTCCTGGAGATCTGTGTAGCACCATGAGGTGTTTGCTCTGCCCTGTCCTGCTGGGTGCCAGTGCAGGCTGTAGAAACAAGGTGCAGAGCCTTGAAAACAGTTTGAACCAGCTACTCAGTCCTGAAAATAAAAATAGGCCTAAAAATAACTTCTCTCAGGCTCTGCAGTGCTAGAGGGGGTTTGGCCAGTGCCTCCCTGCCTTCTGAGTCTGACAATGGGGGATGTGTAGAAACACTGTAGGATGGGAATGTGCAGCATCAGGCATCAGCTCTTCCCTTCAGCCACTGCTGAGCCCGAAGGTGCCCATGGCAGCTGTGTCACAGCTCACAGCACAGCCCCAGCCCTCCCAGGCTGGCAGCACAGGGAGCTGGTCTGGGGTGTCCAGCTGTGCAGGAAGCCAGGGGTGCTCTCTGCAGAGTGCTCCCCAACCTTCAAAGTACCCTGGACTCAAAATGATGGGGTTGCCCCTCTGCTGCTCTTCCCAGCTGTTTTCTGAGGGAGTGTAGAGTGCAGGGAGGTTCCCCAGCTGTGTCCCCCAGCTTGGGTTTCCTCTCTGCTCAGCACCTTAGGCCTGACAGCCCCCCAGGTCTCTGTGCCAGTGTTGCAGCCATAAGAGGGCTGGATTGAGGCTGCCCTTCAGCCAGCTGGGACAGGGCACAGGGCAGGGGATGCTCAGGCTTGCACTGTAGTCCAGCCTGAGTGCTGGATGTGGATTGTTTCCTGCTGAGATTCCAGTGGCCAGGAGCAAGGGGAGTGCCTGGGGTACAGCCTGGGCTGCACTCTCACTGCACTCTCCCTCCTCCGATCCCTACCCAGACCTGACCTCCCCATAGGCACACTGAATGTTCTTTGAGGAGAGCTGGATTTTCAGCTCTGTGCAGCTTTCCTGGCTTTAAGTTGTCCAGTAATGTTTCTGGACCGTTTGGAAACACAGATTTTGCCGTGGCAGCTCAATTAAACGCATCAGTGCCAAACCAGCACCTTCTTAACAAAACCAGTCTGTTTTCAGCTTATTTCCTGTGTAATTGGTTTTTTTTGCAGTATTTAATGAATGACTTTGTGCCTTGATTCAATAACTCAGCTGGGTGGCAATGGCTATATCACTGTGTTATGTGTTAGTGTGGTTTTTAATACTGAGACTGTTTGGTTTGGTTCTTTAACTTATTGCAAATTGTGCCATACAGGACTTGCTCTAACCGGAATGGTTTCAATAAATCCTCTTTTGCATTGTTTGTAAATGGTGCCCTGCTTTGTTGTTGCAGGTTACACAAGACTTTGAGATTTTTTTGACAGCCCTTTGAGTGACCTCCCCAAGGCAGAACGCCCCTCCTTGGGAGGGATCCAGGAGTGCTGGTGATGCTTTGATGGCTGAGGTGCTGCCTGCTGCGGGCAGGTGATGGAAAAGGGAGAAGTCAGGTGTGGAGTGAGGCTGGAGTTAGATAACAAGGCTGGGCCAGCCCGTCCCTACCCCCTGCCTGGGGCTCTGTGACCTCCTTTTACACCCCAGATTCCCTCTGCAGTCCATCAGCACGAAAATCTCATGCCGGGGTTTGGATTTGGACCAAGCTGGAGGGAGACGCGTGGCAGGCGCTGTCTCCTGGAGCTGGGACCATCTGTCACTGCCCGGTGGCTGCCAGCACCGAGGGTCACTCCATCCTGTGACCGAGGGTCACTCCATCCTGTGACGGGGCTCCAGCAGCTTCCCCTGCCCCAGGGCGCTCTGTCTGCCCAGCAGGGAGCTGAGAATGCCCCTCTCTCTGTGCCAGGCTCTGCGGCAGGGCGGGACCGTCCCCAGCATCCCGTGTTTGTTAGCCAGGACACAGGATGGCACCTCTTTGTCCATCTGGGGCTGGAGCCGTGCCCAGCCCTGCTGCGTGGGTACGTGTGGAGCAGGCTGGGCTCCAGGGCTGAGCACTGCTGGGCATCACCCCCCTCTCCTTTATGTAACCATCGGTGATAATCCTCTGCAGCTGGGGCTGTGCTCCCGGGAGGGGAATAATCCTGCCCAGTGATCCTCAGCCTTGCTCAGATTAACAGTCCACAGACAGGAGAGTGGCTCAGCTGCCAGCCCTGCTCCTGGTGCCCCTGCCAGCCCACGGGGCCAGCCCCATTCCAGAGGCCTTTTTGTCCCTCCCAGGGTGTGGGTGGCACACCAGTGAGTGCCAGCTGAGCCGTGCCAGGCGGGTGCTGCCCCTCGGAGCGAGCAGACCCATGGGTGCTGCCCCTCGGAGCGAGCAGATCTGTGGGTGCTGGCTGTGCCATGGCTGTCCCCTCCCGGCTCTGTGCCTTGCTGGCTGCCACAGCCATGGGAGGCCATCTCTTCCAGCTCTCAGTCCAGCCCAGAGAAGGGGGCAGCGCTTTGTGCACCTCCCACCCTGCCAATGCCTCCCTGACCCTCTCCCCAAAAACCACGGGAGCCACCGGTGTTTCCCGTGGGGTTTTACTGCTCGTGCCCGGGTGGGGGTGGGAGAAGGGGGTGACCCCGCACCAGGCCGGCTGGGTGCGGCTCCCCCGGGGGACAGGAGGGTGTGGGGATGTCAGGAGGGTGTGGGGATGTCAGCGGGGCTCCGGGGGGCTTGGGGGGGATATGGCTTCTGTCCTTCAGTGCTACTGCCGGCAGGGTCCTGCGGCGGGGCTGTGTGCTGGGTCGGGGCGCTCCCGTAGTGCCGGGGGGCTCTCAGCTCTCCTCCTCGGGCACGGGGGCGGTGGAAGGGCTCCTGCTCCTCTCCTCGGCATCGCCCGCGGGCAGCAGCAGGGCCGGGCTGGGGCTGGAATGCCGCTGCTTGCGCATGAAGGGGAAGACCCTGCGGGCAGAACGGGGTCAGAACCGGCGGGGACCACCCCTGGTGGACCCCAGGGTTCGGCCCCTGCCCTCACCGCTTCTTGGTCTCCGGGGGAATGATGGCCTCGGCCAGCAGGTTCTTGTAGAGGTCCGACTTGAGGAACCGTGGGTAGGAGTCCTGGGCCAGCAGAGACGTCAGGATCCTGCCCAGCCCTGCGCTGCCCAGCCCCGCCCTCACCCACCTTCTTCATCAGCATGTAGATGTGCATCTGGGCATCGTCCATCACGTAGCGATGGGGCGTCTTGATGCCCTCCAGCGTTCGCTCCATCGTCTTGCTGTCGATGTTCACCCAGCGCGTGGCCCCGGGAGCCAGGAACTGCCTGGGGAGCCGCAGACAGCGCTGAGCCCGGCCCTGGCCTGGCACAGAGCACCGTGATGGCCTGGCCACCCCAAACCCTTCCTCCTGAACCCACCGGCACTCACTGGTAGATGGAGTCCACGATCTCGGAGATCCGGGACTGCTCCCCGTAGCGCAGCTCCTCACACGCCTCCCAGAAGCTCAGGTTCTCCGCTGGGAATGGGGACACGGCACTGGGCACCCTCAAAGGCCACCATGGCCGGGCATGTGTCCCCATTGGACAGAGCCAGATGGGGCAGTGGAGCCAGGGAAACTGGGGCAGATTGGCTGGGAGGTATGGGGATGTGGTGGTGGGCTCAAGAGTGGCAGGACACGACACTGAGTTGGTTTGGTGGTGTTGGGATTGGCACTACTGGGATTGGCACTGCTGGGACATGCTGGGTTTGGCAGTGCTCGGTTGGAGTGGTGGGTCTGGGCTGCCAAGACAGAAGTGTTTTGGGGCTGGGGCTGGGGTCACTCACCACTGAACTCCTTCTTGAGGAATTCCAGGAGCTGTGTCCGGCCCAGGGGGTCGTTGATGAGCTCACTGAAGTTGAAGCCCCAGCGCTCCACGCGCAGCTTCGTGGGGATCGTCACTCTGTGGGTGACAGTGGCATTGGGGCTGACAGCAGATGGCAGCCTGCATGACCCCACAGACCCCACAGCCCTGACCTGCAGATTGGGGTTCTGGGGGGCCTGGGGCTGGGGCACTTACGTGGGGGCATTCATGGCCCAGTACGTGGTGTCGTCCGTGATCCAGGGGTTGCTGGGCAGGCAGCCGGACATGATGGGGTCGTGGGGCACATACTGCTCGTTGAACTTGATGTACCTGCCAGGAGTGGTGGCTGGAGGAGACCAGGGCCACCAACCCCAGCCACCATGGGGACATGATGGGACATGGTGGGGCTGTGCCCGAGCTGTGCAGAGCCTCAGCTCCACTCCCTGCTGAGGGCGGGGGTGCCAGCACCAGCTGCTGGCATGTGGGTGCCCCTGTCACCCTGACAGGGACCCAGCCCGTGGCTGGGGCAGCTGCTGGCACTCACCCCTCAAGGCAGATGGAGGACTTCACCCTGGTCCTGGCCATGGCCTTCCTGCAGTACTCGATCTGGGGCCAGGCGCAGGGGACATGTTGGGGTGCCTGGCAGCTCGTGCCCCCCAGGAGCTGCCCCCACCCCTCGCCCCACTCACCTCTCGCTTGTAGTAATCCATGTTCTTGGTCTGCAAGAGATGCACGGGGCTGGGTGAGGGCACGGTAGGGCTGGGACATTGTCCTGCCACCACCACCCTGGACAATCCAGGCACCCAGTCCCCGAGCACGGGACTCTGTGTCCCATCCCTGTGGCCTCCAGCCTCATTCCCCCAGCCCTCCTGGCTCAGCCCGTGCTTCCCCCCTCCCCACCCCGGTGTGACACCAGCCCTAGGTGAGTGACACTTACGTGGGCAGAGGACACGGCACACGGCGCAGAGAAGAGAAAGCGGGTGGTTAGTGAGGACAGCCTGGGGGTGCTGGGGCAGCATTAGTGGGGTCACAACACAAGGAAGGGCTTGGTGGCTGCTGCTGGCACCCCAGGGTGCCAGGGCTCCCTGCAGCACAGCTGCCCTGCAGGGATCAGAGGCACTGGCACAGAGGGGTGCTGGGTGCAAGGACAAACACACGGACCCCCCATGCTCAGGGTGGGGGACACACGGCTGTTAGCAGAGCTGGGGCTCACCCCTCACCCCAAAGTGTGGGCACAGCTTGGGGTGAGATGGATGGGCACCCACCAGGGCAGCTCTACAGCCCGGCACAGGCACCGGGTGTGCCCTGTGCCCGCTGACAGCCCCGGGGGTGCCCGGACACCCCCACTCACCAGCTGGACACGGGTGGTGTGGCAGTTCCTGCGCTCGGGACCCTGCTCCAGCACGTTCGGGGCTCCTGGCTGCAACGACAGCATCATGCTGGGGGCTGGGGGGACCCCCTGCACCCCTCAGCCCCACTGCCCAGGCCGGGGCCGTGCGTGGTGCCAGGGCTGCACCCTCCAGCCCGACCCCCGGCCCTGCGCTCACCGGGGGCCGGTTGACGAGCCAGTACGCCTGTTCCTGGCAGTCGATGACGATGCGGTCGCCCTTGCGCCGCTGCTTGGCTGCCCTGGCCGTGCAGAGGCAGCGGGGAGGTGCTGGCACCCTGCCTGCCCGGCACCCAGGGGTGCTCCATCCCGGCCGCTCCCCGGGGCGCAGCGGTGCCGGCCGTGCCCGCACTCACCGGAGCTGCTCCCGTGCCTGCATCACCACGAAGTCCCACGTGTGGTTGATCCGCTTGTGCAGGAGGTTGTAGTTGTCCTGGGGAGCGACAGGTAGGCACGGTGTGGCACCTGTCCCCTTGCCCGGCTCCTGCTGCCACTGCAGCACAGGGACAGCCGGTGCCACCCGCCACTCCTGTCTGAGCCGAGACTCCGCGGCTTCACCGCAGGGGTGAGGAGGGCACCCTCACCTTCTCGTGCTCGATCAGATCACCCTGCTTGCGGATGTTCTTCTTGGCCAGGTAAATGGCTGCAAGAGAAGCGGTGGCGCTCAGGGTGGCTGCGAAGGGGTGGCAGCCCGTGTCGGTGCCAGTGGCACGGTGGCACCTACCGTAGTCCAGCTCCGTGGCCGGCCACTTGGTGCTGGTCCAGAAATAGGGGGTCTGTGGGGGAGGAGAGGCTGAGGAACCTGTCGTGGGGTGCCATGGGGTGCCGTGGGGTGCCCAGCGGGGGCAGCCCCGGCGCTTGGGCTGTACCTGGAAGCGGTAGGGCGACTCATCTGCCCGCAGCACCAGGCTGCGCGGGTCCTTGAGCGGGTAGATGTAGCCGTGCTTCACGATCAGGTTGCCGAGGTGCAGCGACTCTGCGGAATGAGACTGGGGGCTGCCTGGAGGCTCGGCAGCCCCGTTGCCCCCTCGGTGCCAGCTGCCTGTGCCAGGGCACTCACCCTCCTCGGAGATGCCGTACTTCTGGATGAGCCACTCCACGATGTCGTTCCCTAAGGGATGGAGGCTGCGTTAGTGGGGGGCAGTGGGGTTCCCCAGGCTGGACATGGGGGGGTTCTCGGTCAGCATGGCAGTGCCAGGGGTCACGCAGGGTGACGGGGGCCCTGCCAAGGACTGCCCGCCCCGCGCAGCCGATGCATAATTGATCCCAGCTGCAGCGCTGAGCACCGGGGTGCGGGGAGAGGAGCGGCGCGGGGGCCGCTCTGCAGGGCTGGGGACACCCGGGGAGTCCCCACACGCCTTCCCCACGTGGGGACTCCATCGCGGGACCCACCTGTCATGGCGTGGGGGATGACGGTGATGAGCAAGCGCTGGTTCCTCATCTTGATGCCCATGTCGGGGTCCTGCATGCTGACGATCATCCGCTCCATCTGCCGGGCAAGGAGCCGCTGTGCTCAGCCCCGCGACAGCGGCACCGAGCCTGGACAGAGTCTGGGTCCCCTCACTGTGACCCCGGGCACCCTGTGACCTGGACACAACCCGGGTCCCCGCAACCCGACAGAGGCAGCACCCAGTGCCCCTGGGGACAGCCTGGAACTCCGCAGTGCCCCAGGGCACCCTGTGTCCACCCTAGGGACAGCCTGGCATGCCACAGCCTGACCGAGGCACCCAGCAGCCGGGCGAGCTGCAGACACTCATCCTCCGGGCACCCCTGGCCCGGGGAACCCCGGTTTTGGGCAGTGAGCTCTGCCGAGCACCCCAGCGCGGCGTGGGGGAGCCGAGCACGCAGCTCCGGGGCGCTGCCCGTGGGTATTCCCTCGTGGGGAGGTTGCCGGTGCCCCATGGCCGGGGTGGTGTCGCTGTCCCGCGTACTCTGGGCGGAGCTGGTCCCCCGCTACCCCACGCCCGCGCCGCGGCGGCCCCCGATGCCCACGAAACCCAGCGCAGTGTCCGTGTCCGGTCCCCACGGTCCCGGTGCCCGGTCCATACAGTGCCGGTGCCCGGTCTGCACAGTCCCAGCGCCCGCTCCTCGATCCACAGGGCGCCGGTGCTCGGTGCGCTCGGTACCCCCACCCCGCGATGCCGGTGCCCGACCCCCACGGTCCCAGCACCGGGCGCCAGCGGTGCCGCTCCCCAGGCTGGCGGTGCCGGTGTCGCTCACCTTGCGCAGGCAGGGCATCTGGAGGCGGGGTACCGGCCGCGGGGCCGCCGATGGTCACCGCGGTGCGCGCCCCGCCGCCCGGCCCCGCCCGGTCCCGCCCGGCCCCGCCCGGTCCCGCCCGGTCCCGCCCGGTCCCGCCCCGCTGCCCCCCCCCGCGGCCCCGCCGTCCCCACCGGGTGCCCCAAACCCCGGCCCCGACCCCCGGGGTCAATCTGCCCGCGGGACCCCCGGCACCCCTCAGCCTCCCGGGGCTGAGCCGGTGCCCGGGAGGGAGAACCGCACCGCTGTGGCTGCTGGATGGCGGCGCGGGCAGGGTGCGGGCATTGTGAACAAGGTGCTGGCCGGGATGCGGGCGGTGCGGCCATGGCGTGAGCAGTGCCCTGAGGGTACAGAGAGGATGCGGGCAGTGCTCTGAGGGTACAGAGAGGATGCAGGCAGTGCCCTGAGGGTACAGAGAGGATGCAGGCAATGCTCTGAGGGTACAGAGAGGGTGCCCGCGGGATGCTCGCGGGGTGCAGGCAGTGCCCTGAGGGTACAGAGAGGATGCTCGCGGGATTCAGGCAGTGCCCTGAGGGTACAGAGAGAATGCAGGCAGTGCCCTGAGGGTACACAGAGGATGCGGGCAGTGCCCTGAGGGTACAGAGAGGATGCGGGCAGTGCCCTGAGGGTACAGAGAGGATGCGGGCAGTGCCCTGAGGGTACAGAGGGGATGCTCGCGGGATGCAGGCAGTGCTCTGAGGGTACAGAGAGGATGCTCGCGGGATGCAGGCAGTGCCCTGAGGGTACAGAGAGGATGCAGGCAGTGCTCTCAGGGTACACAGAGGATGCTCGCGGGATGCAGGCAGTGCCCTGAGGGTACAGAGAGGATGCGGGCAGTGCACTGAGGGTACAGGCAGGATGCTCGCGGGGTGCGGGCAGTGCTCTGAGGGTACAGGCAGGAGGCTCGCGGGGTGCGGGCAGCGCGGGGCGGGCTCGCCCGGCGATGAGCTCACTGCAGTCTCGCCGCCCACGAGCGGCGGGGCTGGAGCCGCCGAGGGGCGGGGGCGGGCGGGGGCGGGCAGCGGAGCCGCCGCGTCTGCGGGAGCCGCCGCCGCCCCGCCGGGCCGCGCCGGGCAGCGCCGGGAAGCGCAGCGGGGAGCGCTCGGGAGCAGCCGGCACCGCCGAGCGCGGCGGCAGCGGGCGGGAGGAGCCGCCGGCACCGGCAGAGCCGCGCCCCGGGCCCCGCCAGCGGCCGCCCCGCCCGGCCCCGGGGGTGGCGGGCCCGGCACGGCCCGGCCATGCTCGGCCTGGACGTGTGCGAGGCCGGCGGGCAGCTGCTGGAGCTGCTCTGGCTGGCGCTGTGCTACCGAGGTGAGCGGCGGCGGCCGGGGGGCAGCGCCCGGGGGCGGCGGGGGGCTTTGCCTCGGGGAGGGAGGGCGAGCATCACTCCGAGTCCCCAGTAAGTGAGCATCCCCCGGGCGCCCGGTGCATCCATGAGCGAGCAGCACCCCGGGCCCGGGGGAACTGGAGCGTCCCACGGGGGAGATCCCCGCTGTCCCCCTGCCACCTCGCAGCCTGTGGCACCTGGCGCATGCCACCCTGCCCTGCCGCCCGTGGGTGCATCCCCGGGCTGGGAGTGCCCGCATGCTGCCGTGACAGCCGAGGGGCAGGGCCTTGGTGGGGGCCAGAGGGGCAGCAGGGCCACTGCTGTGTCCCCATCACTGCCACTGCCCTGGGGGACCCGCATCATGGCCAGACTGACACAGACTTTCGGCCCCGGGGCTGAGCGCAGGCAGCGTCCTCTGCCCCATGCTGTATTTCAGCATCTCCCCACGGATGGAGCTCCAGGGGCTTTGGGGAGCTCGGTGCTTGCAGTCACAAGAGTGGGGTGGTGATGCAATGGGCAGGGAGAGTCAGGGACTGTGGGGACATCACCCACACTTGTGCCCCCCGGCTGTGTGGCAGCACCGGAGCCACCGGAGCCACCATCCCAGTGATGCCTCTTTGCCCTGCAGCTGCTGGTGGTTTGGATTTGGGGTGGGAGACGGGGCTGGAGGTTGCCCAGTGGGGTTGGAGGGGACTGCAGGGCAGTGACAAGGACTTCTCTGGGTGACACGAAGGGGCCCTGGAGGCTGGAGGGGTCTGCCATCACCCCCCAGACCGAGCACAGCGCGTAGGCACCGGCTCGAATTGCTCCATGACCGTGCGGAAATGCAGCCGGCGGTGACACCGCTGGTCTCAGCTGTGCCACCAGGCCCCGGGGACACCGAGCCTGGCAGCCACCCCACGGCTCCGAGCAGGGACCAGCGTGGCCTCCCCACGGGGATTTCCCATGTCCCAGCCCAGCCACCCCCTGCCCACCGGAGCCTTCGTGTTGGGGGCAGGGGGTGTCCCCGGGGTGTCCCCGGAGCTGCCACTGCCTGTCCCCCGCAGACATCATGGCTGACAAGGAGGGGGTGACGCTATCGCTGGAGGAGGAGGAGGAGGATGCCGACGTGGCCCTGGCGTACAAGACGCCGGAGAAGAAGAGCCTGCAGGAGATCCAGGAGCTGGACCCGGGGGATGAGAGCCTGCGGAAGTACAAGCAGGCGCTGCTGGGTGCCATCCCTGCTGCCGTGGGTAAGGCGGGGGCTGCGGGCGGCTTTGGGCACCGCGGCTGCCCAGCCCGGGGATGCGGCCTCAGCGGGCTCGGGGAGCTCGGGCAGCTCCAGCAGGGAGCGTCCCGTGGGGCATCCCCGGCACGGAGGGCACATCCCGGCTGGAATCTCCCGTGGGTGCCGCCTGTGCCCCCCACCCGCGCAGAGACCCCGGCATTCCCTGCCGACAGTGCCGGTGCCCGGGGACCCCGGTTGCCGTGGTTACGGGATCACCGCCGCAGTTTCCATAGGAACGGCTACAGGGAACCGGGAAATTCATGGGGATGACTGAGAGGAGCGAACGGCGGGGGCGGGGGGAGGAACACCGGGGTAGCACGGCTGCCGGTGACCAGGCGGTGCCCCCCGCTCCCCATGGCCCCCACGGGCTCCCCCACCCCAGGGGGTGCTGGTCTGCACTGGGGGTCCCTGGGGAGCTCTGCGGGCCCAGCACCCCGGTGTCCATCATGAATGCAAATGGCAGGGTGCAAACTGGGAGGGGGGAGGGCTTGCAGAGCAGTGGGATGCACCGTGGTATGTGTGAAAGCAGGTTGGGCTGGTGGGGTGAATGAGACCAGTGCCCACCTCAAGGGATGCCTTGGCTGTGCATGCTACATCCTCCTCCTTGGCTTCCCCTTGTTCTGCTCCTGGGAAACACCAGTGTCTGGGTCCTTTAAATGTGATCTTACCCTAAAGGCACTGATGCCAGAGGTGGAGTGACCTGAGATGCACCTGCTCTCCTGCACCCTGCCTGGCACTCACCTGCTTTAACGCCCCCACCACAGACACCATGGCCCTTCCCTCCCTTACCGGGCCAGGGGCAGCCCCTTGGCTTGCTGGGATGGTGATGGTGGGTATGGACTGGGCATGGTGGGTAAGATCTGGGCCCTGCTGCTTGTCCCTAGATGCCAGCGTGCCCAACGTGCAGGTGACAAGGCTGACACTGATGTGTGAGCAGGCGCCGGGGCCCATCACCATGGACCTGACAGGTGAGCCCTGGGGACACCGGGGGAGGAGGAGGAGGAGGAGGAGGAGGAGGAAGGGATACTGGGCTGATGGAGCATCTACCTGTGCAGGAGATCTGGAAGAGCTGAGAGGCCAGGCCTTTGTGCTGAAGGAAGGGGTGGACTACAGAGTGAAGGTGTCCTTCAAGGTGGGTGGTGGCCTGTACCCACTGGCTGGACATGGCCCTGCTGCCCTCACTCCACGGGCTCCCTACCTCAAGGGGTTCTTGTTACCCTGGGACCCTGCCCTGCAGAGTCCCTCTTGCCACCCATGGGTGCCTGCCTGTCCCAGGGTCCCTGCCTTGGCACATCTTCTGCCCTTTACCCCTGGGGTTCGTGCCCCTCTGGGGGTCTCTGCCCACCATGAGTTTCCCAGTCTCCTGGGTCCCTACCACCCTGGGGGTCCTTGCTGTCCCCAACATGACTGCCACCCCATGGTTCCTGCCAGCCCAGAATCCTTGCTTCTCCCAGAGATCCCAGCAATGACGCCTATCCAAGGGGTTCCTAGAGGAGAGGGATCCCTGTCATCTCCGAGTCCCTGCCACTTTAATGATGCTGAATTCTGGCAAGGGGCTGGATCCTCAAAGAGGTGGATGTCAGGATGCCAGTGGTCCCCATGCCATGGGGCAGTCCCCAAGTCCCCCCTGCCTTCTGCCCGCAGGTGAACCGGGAGATCGTCTGCGGGCTGCGGTGCCTGCACCTCACCTACCGCCGGGGCCGGCCCGGTGAGTGGGGCTGGGGGCTGGGGGCCGGGGCTGGGGGGGTCCCCAGGCTCCTTCAGCCCCACTCACCCGTCCCTCCTGTCCCCTCGTGGCCCAGTGGATCGCGACGTGTTCATGGTGGGCAGCTACGCGCCGCGGGCCGAGGAGTACGAGGTGGTGACCCCGGCGGAGGAGGCGCCGCGGGGATGGCTGGCGAGGGGCTCCTACCGCGTCCGCTCCCTCGTCACCGACGACGACAAGACGGAGCACCTCTCCTGGGAGTGGGGCCTGTGCATAAAGAAGGCTTGGGAGGACTGAGCCCGCCGCAGCCCGGCTCCCCCCGCCAGCCCGGGGACGCGGCGCCGCCATCCCGGGGAGCCCCCGCCGGCACCGCCGCGCCCGCCCCAGTCGCGTCAAGGGTTGAGGGGGGTTCCTTAGCGAGTGAGAGCCCGTGCTCGTGGTCTTCGCAACCAAAGTTATTTTTAATTGCTCTTTTTTTTTAAAATATCGACGCCCGCCTGATCCTCACGGCGTCCCCATCGCTGGGGCCGGGGCTGTGGCCCTGCCGCGGTGGCGCCGTGCCCGGTGCCCGCCCGGTCGCAGGCTGTGCTCTTCCATCGCCATTAAACCCTACAGACTGGTCTCTTACTGGTGTGTCTGTGTCCCCACCGCCTACGCCTGTCCCCCTGCTCCCTGTCCCCTTCTCCCTGTCCCCCTGCTCCCCGTCCCCATCCCGCTGGCAGGGCCAGGTCTCCCTGCGGCGACCAGCGTCTGGAAAGCGGCCACCTGGTCCCGCTGCCTTATCGCGGGGCCGGGCAGCCAGTAGCGGAGGGCCACGAGCCCCAGGGGACCGGCACAACCCGCCCCCAGGTCCCTTATCTTCGTCCTCCCCCCCGGACAACTCCTTCAGCGCCGGCACCATGCGCGGCTGCGGGTCCCGGCTGGTTTGGCTGCTGGTGCTGTCGCTGGCCTGGCTGGGCCCCGCTTTGGGGGGCGAGGATGAGGATGAAGAGGTGATAGAAGAGGAGGAAAAGGAGAAGAAAGAGGATGAAGTGCTCTCAGATGAGATTAAGGAGGAGGACAATGTCCTGGTGCTCCATGAGCACAACTTTGCCCGTGCCCTGAGTGAGCACCAGCTGCTGCTGGTGGAGTTCTGTGAGTGCCCCACTGCGGGCAGGGGTGTGGGCAGGGGCAGATGTGGGGTAGGGAATATTGGCAGGGGGGACTGGCTGTGGGCAGAACACGTACATGGACACGGGCACAGGAGGGTACAGGACAGGAGGGACGGTAGGTGGGGTGGGCAGGGGCAAGGCTGTGGGACAGAGGGGCAGGAGCACAGGGCATGTGACAGGGCATGGGGTGGGGACGGACACGCAGAGCAGGGACAGGCAGAGCATGGGGTGAGGGGTGTGCAGCACGGCTGTGGGACACAGGACATGGACACATGGTGTGGGTGTGGCACAGGGGCACAAGCTGGGGCCCAGTGGGCTCACACAGCCATTGGGCTGTCCCCACACCTGTCCCCGTTGTCAGTGCTGTCCCCTACCCACAGACGCGCCGTGGTGTGGGCACTGCCAGCGGCTGGCTCCCGCCTATGCCCAGGCAGCCACTGAGCTGAGGAACGAGTCCAGCCCAGCCCGGCTGGGCAAGGTGGATGCCACGGCACAGACAGCCCTGGCCGCTGAGTTTGGCATCACCTCCTACCCCACGCTCAAGCTCTTCCGTGATGGCAACCGCACCCACCCCCTGGAATACACCGGTAGGACTGTGGCAACACAGAGTGTCCCTGGCACCCATCCAGGGGGGCACTGCCATGAGTCTGGGGTGGGTGGCAGGGGCTGATGGTCGAGGGTGGCACTGTCCTTGTGGGGGTCACAGGGTGGTGATGGTGAGAGGGGTGGCAGTGTCCTGGTGGTGATAACGGGCAGGTGACAGTGTCATGTATGAGGGGATGATGGTGGGCAGTGCCACGGTGCTGGTGGTGGGTGCCTGAGGGTGGTGGCACAGGGAGGGGGGGCAGTCTGGAGAGGGGTGTCAGGTGACATCTGTGTGCCAGGCCGCATGGACAGCCAGGCCATCGTGCGCTGGATGCAGCGCCGGGCTGGCCCCAGCGCCACGCTGCTGCAGGACACCGACACCACCGCAGCCTTCATCAACTCCCAGGACTTGGTGGTCATTGGCTTCTTCAAGGTGGGCTGGGGCGGGCTGGGGCTGGACCAGGGCCGTGGCTGTGCTGTGGCACTCACGGGTGGCCGTGCAGGACCTGAGGGGTGAGGCAGCCCAGGCGTTCTTCGAGGTGGCTGCCGAGATGGTGGACCTGACGTTTGGCGTGGCAGAGGCAGCTGAGCTCTTCCAGGCCTACGGGCTGTCAGCTGACACCGTCTGCTTGTTCAAGAAGGTGAGGGGGTGGCAGGGGAGTGGTGGGGCCATCCTGCCCTCCCCTCAGCCCTCACAGGCTCCTGCCCTGGCAGTTTGATGAGAGACAGACAAACTTCCCTGTGGACCCGGCACGGGGGCTGGACACGGCTGAGATCACCCGGCTGCTCCGTGCCCACAGCCTGCACCTGGTGATGGAGTTCAGCAACGAGGTACAGCCCGTCCCCAGCCCTGCCACTGTCCCTGAGGGCCATGGCTGCCCTGCCCTCATTCTCCTCCTCCTCCCCAGACATCTGACCAGATCTTCGGTGCCAAGATCCCCCATCACATGCTGCTCTTCCTCAACAAGTCCTCAGCGGAGCAGCTGTCGCTGCGGGACAGCTTCAGGGCAGCAGCCGGTGACTTCCGCGGTGAGGTGAGGCGGCCCCATGGAAGGGACATGGAGGGTGGCCTTGGGACTCCCCAGCCTCAGTGTCCCCGTTCCCTGCCCAGGTGCTCTTCGTGGTGGTGGATGTAACCGGCCACGGCGCCGGCGTCCTGCCCTTCTTTGGCATGGCCGCTGCTGATGCCCCCACCCTGCGCCTGGTCAGGATGAAGAACAATCGCAAGTACCAGATGGAGCAGGACGACTTCTCGGACTCGGCCATTCGCAGCTTCGTCCGGGCGGTGCTGGACGGCAAGGTGAAGGTGAGGGCAGCATGAGGGCTGCATGGTGCCCACCAGCACTGATGGGTGCTGGATGGCAAGGTGAAGGTGAGGGCTGCATGAGGGCTGCACGGTGCCCACCAGCACCGATGGGTTCTGCCCTGTGGTGAGAGACGGATGTTGGCTCAGAAGCTTAAGGATGATTGTTGTGTGGTGAACACCAGAGACCTGTTTGCTGATACTCCTGCTGCCAGGCTTGAGATCTGGGGAAGGGGGGCAGGAGATTGCTGCCATGGAGACACACAGAGCTGGGATGGCAGCAGAGGGGAAGATGCGGTCCAAAAGGCAGCACAGGAATGTACCCCTGCCCCAGCCGGCACTGTGCCCCACAGGCCTCTGCACTGCTCAGCCCAGGCTGTGGCTGTCCTGACTGTCCCCACAGCCTCGCCTGCTGAGTGCAGAGCCCCCTGAGGACTGGGACACACAGCCTCTTAAAGTCCTGGTGGGGAAGACCTTTGAGCAGGTGGCTTTTGATGAGACCAAGAACGTCTTTGTCAAGTTCTGTAAGTGCCAGGGCCACGCATGTCCCTCCCTGAGCTCCTCCATGGGAGCCATGGGGCTCAGCCCCTCCAGGACAGCCCCAGCCCTGCCCCAGCCCCCCGGTCAATGCGCCCGCCCCGCAGACGCGCCGTGGTGCCCCCACTGCCAGGCCATGGAGGCCGCCTGGGAGGAGCTGGCCGAGCGCTACAAGGACCACGAGGACATCGTCATCGCCAAGATGGACTCCACGGCCAACGAGCTGGAGAACATCACCATCCACGGCTACCCCACCCTGTACTACTTCCCCGCGGGGCCGGGCAGGAAGGTAGGTGTGGGCACTTGTGGGGTCACCCGCACCTGGGGGCCGGTGGCACCCTCAGTGCCCTCTGCTCCCGTGGCTCCAGATGGTTGAGTACAAGAGCAGCCGCGATGTGGAGACCTTCTCCAAGTTCCTGGAAAACGGGGGGACACTGCCTGAGGAGCCTCCGGTGAGTGAGGTCAGGGGACAGCGCCCTACCCAGGGCTGTCCCCAGCCCCTGCTGGGCGAGGGGATGGGTCCTGCAGGATGGGGACAGGGACAGGGCCAGGGCCAGGCAGGGACTGTGTGTCCATCCGTGCCTCATTGCTGCCTTCTCCAGGTGACCAAGGCCCCTGGGAACAGCACGGGCGAGGAGGGTCCAAGTACGCCGCAGACAGATGAATCCCGGGATGAGCTGTGAGCCATGTCCTGCTCATGCATGTGCTATAAACCACCTGGAAACAATGTGGGCTCTGGTCTGTGTCTGTGTCTCCATGTGCTGGGAGCACTCACCTATCTAGGGGACACAGCAGGGCCTCTGTCCCCCTGGGGCAGCTGTGCCATGGCACTGGTCCTGGTAACCCTGCAATGGCACCAGGTGGCCAAGGAGCCCTCCATGCTGGCCCTCCTGCTGCTCTGGTGGCGTTCAGGTGATGGGGGACCAGCTGGGGTCTCTCCTTCATGACATACAACACCCAGGAACTGCTGTCACAGTCAAGGCAGGCAACACAGGGTTCTACCTGCACATAAGCCTGGCTTGTAGCCTCTGGCAACTCCAGCACTGTCCTCTCTGCTGACCCATTCCTTCAGGGGCAACATGTTGGTCCTGTGGGGCCAGGATGTGCTCAGCCACCCCTCCAGGGAACCCAGAGCAGCCCCAGTCCCACCCTCTGCCCGCCCTTCACCAATCCTGCCTCATCCTCTGTCCATCCCAGAGGCTGCTGAGGGCCTGGGCTGGCTCTACAGGGAAGGAAAAAAAGCAGCAGGCAGTGGGATGTGGGGTTTTATTTCATTTTATCCAAGTACCTTTCAAAAGATCATTGTACAAGTCAGCACATGAGAATGCAGAGGAAATGCTGGGGCTGCATGGCCACTGTACATATTTACAGGGACCCCCCTAAAAAAAGGGGGGGATGGAAATCCCGGGCACACCAACAACCTCACCAGACACACCACCATCAGAACTTCAGAAAACGGAGTAAAACCCCTCATTGACACTGTTCCCGGGCTGAAAACATGAGCAGGTTTTGCTGGACTTCACAGAGTGTATCAGGCAAGTCCAGAACCGTGATTAAAGGCACTCGGTGACATGTACAACAGGCGCAGCCATCCCGGCCTGGTGCCACGGGGGCCGGCAGCTGCACCACTGCTGGGGCTGGGGATGGCTCTGAGCAGGGCCAGTGCCACCGTGGACCCTTTGGTGGGTGGGCAAGGGCTCTCAGAAGGAGCTGGCACAGAGCCGTGGCTGTGCTGGAGCAGCAGGGCCTGGGCTGGGCGAGGACAGGATGAGGGCAGCACCGGCACAGCCCCGGCTTCCTTGCAGCTGAGTAAGCCCAGGAGGCTCCCCAGGGCTGCTGCTGGCCCTACATGAGCCACACACTGGCATCAATGAGCCCCTGGTGCAGTGCCCTCCTGCTGCTTCCCCGGAGACACAGAAACTGATGAAAGATGCAGGACTCATAAAAAGACGTATTTTGTCTTCAGCTTTAATGTCTGCTTCCCCATTATGGCTCTGCTAAAGAGAGCCCTGCCTAAAGCCAGAGCCTGGCCCGGGGCTCTGGGCATGTCT